ATGCATGTTTAATATAGTAAAAACATTGCAAACATTAAAAACTAATATAATAGACTAATCACTAAAAAAGGTGAGTCTACATCCATGCCAAAAGATTTTTAAACGTAATGAAGCCGCAAATTATTTAATGATGAATTAAAGAGAAATGCTGAATACAAAATGCTTATATGTTGATATTTTGAATGTTATTATCAACCTTTCAGTTTGGTATATCAACTAGAATATCAGAAGTTGTTGAAGTTGAAACTTTGCCACAAGTTAAATGCTAATAGCATACTAATGTGCTGTTATCTAGCAATGCTTAACATTTACTTTAGTGTGTTAGCATGCTAACAAATGTAGCTTATAGGATAATCATGAAATTGATTTCATTAGTTGTTGCGGTTATAGTAGATCACAACATTTCTTTTAGCTAAATGCTAATAACAAGCTACTTCGCTCATATAAATGTATTGAATTTTGTCTAACAAATTGAAACCTCAGAGTGGTGCGAGAGGAAAAGTAATGGTTTAATTTGACGTCCATCCGTACAGTCCATTTTTAAATATTTGAGTCGTACCAAAGTGGCTAAAAGCTACAGAGCATATGAAGCTGTGGTAAAGTAATTCTGCAAAGGAAACTAATTTGATCATGAACATCTGTACCTTTTTGTCTGTGGGTTTGGCCGATGCAGCCTTGCATTAAACCCTCAAATGTGTGTGTCTGTGTGAGTGTATTTGCACAGAGCAGTGATGTCCAAACAGGGATTAGATTGGTTTATATAGCCCACAGCAGCACATTTGCGATTCAGCGAACATCACACTCAGATTGCCAAATTGCTGATTATGTTGGTTTAACTATTTTTGCATGAAGCACTTCTTTCCATCTCAGTTACCAGGATTGGTGGCTATAGTTCCCATGATCCCTTCAGAAGTATCTCTACCTTACATGGCTTCTGCTTAAAACACAGATTCTGAGTAATGATGTTCCAAAAATACTCCATGGTTTTGGCCAGCAGCTGAAAAGGGAGCAGAGATGCAATCAGGCTAGAGAGTCAACAAGGCGAGTGTGTACGGCCTGCACAAACTACCGCTCTGCTACCACAGCAGACACATCACACGCGGGCTGTGGACCAGGCCTCTTGCAGTGAACACACAACTGGCTGTTAGTGGTTGGAGAAGGGAAGCCGTCATCTCACCCAACGCGGGCCCACATGAGTCAGACGCAGCGTGTAGACAAAGCGGGCAGACCTCAGCGTCATTTAAAAAAGCTCTGCTGCGCCAGCAAGAAGGAAAACAGCTTCTGAACATCTCAAAGTCAATTTGACGGCATGTGATGTGGCTCCACAACAACAATTTTCAACATTCATCAATGCTTTTATGCAAATAAAGCCTTTATTCTTGGATGTCATGTTGCTTATATTTAAAAAAGAGACACAGAATGTTTCCTGGATGCCTTGAAAGTGGAGCGTTTAAGAGAGAAAAGAGAGCAAACATAAAGAGTTCTTGTTAAAAAGAAGTAGAGTCAAGTCTTCTTACAGTCGAGCCAGTTGGTCTAAAACTTTCCATCAAAGCCTCACCGAGCTGCATGGAGTAATTACCTCTCACACAGCAACAGCTCCCAGGCCTTATTAATGATACTGCTGGTGTGTGTGTGTTTAAAGGTGCTCAACTAGAGTGTGTTTCCATGTGTGTGTGTGTGTGTGCCTATAAAGTAACAGCACCCCAGAGTGTCCTGCTTTTCAGACATAAACCAGCAAGTGATAAACCGGGAAATGTTGTTATGACGGCTCGCTCCTGGTCTCTGCTGTCCTGATGACGGAAGAGAGAAGCCCACCCAAAGTGCACTTCCAGCACGTCTGGGTAAAAATAGTCAAAAAGACAAAGGCAAAACCGAACTGGAAAAGCAGTCAGTGAAAGAAAACGTCCACAAGCGCCTTCTGCTACATTGATGTTAATGTGACATCCTGACCCTGCAGACACATTTAGACCGCTGCAGGAATTTGATTTGAATTCAACTGAAGTTCAATCTGGGAAAAAGTTCAGAAATAAAACCATTTAAGGCTCTTGTTAGTCAAAGTCAAGCTAAATGCTAATATCATTATTGTAACATGCTCACAGTATTAATAATACAATTTTCATTCTAAACAGTGTATTGTGTTGACCATCTTGCTACTTGGTACTACCAATTTACTTAATGCCACACACAACTCCATCTATAAGCACTCAATGACAAAATGCTGCATGCTAAAATTCGCTAACTAGCGCAACACAAGACTGAAGCTAACACTTTCATCCTAATTTCTCGCTTCATGGCAGCAGTGACGCCTAAATAATTTATGAAGAGTAAAGATAAATGGATTAAAATTCAGTTTTTGGCCAGTGTGAATGTCTGTGAGAATTTTTTATCAATACACGGAGCAGATGTTGAGATGTTTCTTGTGAGGTAGCCACGTCGCTTTGGGCGCTAACTCGACTTTTTGGACGTCTTCTTCTGTTTTGTGAACTTTTTCTGTTATTGGGCAGAAATATTCTTTAATTCTTCCATCTTTAAAGTTGATCGGTAAGATATTAAGAAGAGAGCTGCTAACAACTTATGTGGGCCTACTTTTTAATGCAAGGCGCCATATTGATGTATAATCTTATACTATATAATGGAAATATTCAATTCAGAAGCCTCAAAGTTATTTTTGGCTTTCAATTCGTCAACAGAAATCTCCTTATCCAAACTCTCTGTGAATAACATGTGACAAAGTATCGTCATAAGACAGAAAAAGAAAAACAAGATATTTAAAAGAGGTGATGTAGCTGCTTTTAAGCTCATGATTGATGTTTTATTGGATCTCCTGGTTGTTCAGAAGACTGAATCACATCTCTTCTGAGGTCAAACCAGCTCTTGATCTCTGATGCATGGATTGTATTTTCGGTTACTCATGACCACAGTAGATACAGCTCAAGCTCCTGGCTAGGATTAAACGTGTGTACTCCCCTTTGCCATGAGTTATTCATTCATCTGTAATGTTGTTAATGGAAGTTTTTTTTTTTTCAGATTTTTTTGAACTTTTCGAAACTTTTTTTTTCTTTTTTTTTTTTACTTCTCTTTATTGGGGTATTTTCTTTTTTCAAATACAGATAAAAAACAAAAAACAATCTGAGACATGTTTATTCATAACTCAAACCAACACAAAAAAACAAAAAAAAACTTATTAGTAATAATAATACAACTTGGAGGATATCTAGTGCTCTGGATTTTACGAAATTATTATTTTTTCCTGGGGTTGTTTTTGTTATAGTACTCTATAAATGGCTGCCATATTGAGTAAAACATATTTATCCTTCCTCTCAGGATACATTTTACTTTTTAACTGCAAATGCTTCATTACATCATTTATTAAAGCTTGATAAACTGGAGGATTTATTTGTTTCCAGTTCATTAATGGACGTTTTCTAAATTGTATTTATGAACTACAACCCCGTAAGGAGCTGCTAAGCCTAAAAGAATCCCCTAAGTCTGTGTATTAATGGAGACAGAGTGATAGTCTCATGATAGTCTGACTGCAGTTTCAAAAGCTGTTTTTGTGGAAAAACAGTGTCATGTTTTGGTTTGAAAATGGGTTAATTTAATCATAAAGAAAAATATCAGCATCTGCATCATCCTTCAAATAAATAGGCCACCAACTGCAGATTTTTTTTTCCAAAAGTTTGATTAATACTCCCAAATAAATCTGACAAAGTTAGAAGCTTTAAAGTTACATGTGCAGGAGCTGACTGATGGGTTTTGGTAGCCAGAATAATATTGTTGCAATAACCATCGTCATCATGAATATAATCTAACTTTCCTCATCAACATTCCTGCTCACCAAAAAGAGAGTTTATAAATCTTTCTCTCGCTGCAGATTCAAAATGCCTAAACAACATTCACCCTGATGTTTCCACATCTCACCACATCATGAGGTGGTTGTGTTTTTCCAGGGCAGGCTTGAAACGGAGGGCCAGTAAAACTTCTTTGGGCATGCAGACCCCCTTAGCCGTGCCAGCCGTGTACAGCAGGAGACATAAAACCCAGAAAACCTGAAGTAGACAAACTGCGTTAAGTGTTCATAAAATATCTCTGGCTGGGGAACTTTTAATGGAGAGATTAAGGGGAAAAAAGAGAGCTTTTAAGATGAGGTACTGCTCAGCTTCTAATGAGAGTTTGCTGCCTCAATACATCCATTCATGTGATCTTCAAAATACAGGTTTGTCACCTGTCATCATCAAGTGTAAGATACCTGGTGATAGCAGGGTTTTATGTGATTTATATATCTGCCCAATAACACTTCAAGATTTTATAAATTGACATAAATGATTAACATGAAATAAATAATTTAAAACTCTGCTGCTCGCTTACAAAACAGCGAAAAAACGTCTCCTCCTTACTTTAACTCTCTCATCCAGGTCTACACTCCCTCCCCCCCACTACGCTCTGCCAATGAAAGGCATCTGATCCAACCTTCACAACAGGCTCCTAAGTCTCTGACTAGACTCTTCTTCTCTGTCGCCCCCCGGTGGTGGAAACTCCATTCCAAACTCCATTCGATCTGCAGAGTCCCTCTGCACCTTTAAGAAAAAGCTAAAGACCCAGCTCTTTCATGAATACCTACTAACTTAATGATGATGGTCTCCATATTATTGATGATGATGATGGTAATGACGATGGTTTTTGTTTGATAACGACGACTTATAAGATGGATGTACGTTGCTTTGGATAAAAGCGTCTGCTGAGTGAATTGTAGAATTGTAGAATAAATTGAAAATTTGCCGTCTATCTTTGCATATTTTGTTTGAAAAGACTTCAGATATATGATTAAAAACCATGATTTCTTTAAAATATGTATATATTATAATAATATTCTGTCATTTTAAATGAGTTCCTGACACCAAAGTGTGACAAATACGCATAGTAGTGAGTGATCTAATTTCAACCACAGTTAAACTAGAAATGCCGCATTTATGCTACAACACCGCCCCCTTGTGGTACCGTTAGAGTAAAGCACTGGAGGTGCAGCTTCGACGCGTCATCATCATGCGCCTGTCTCTCCAGCCACTGCTGCATGTGAGGAAAAAACATGGGGAAGGCAATTAGTTTGACCTGCTTTTAATCTGCGTCAACATTGCACTTAATGCGGGTTTTGTGGGCGAAAGTGTGATTTATAATCCTGACGCCACTCTGCGAGGTGACGATAGTGACGTAGACTGTATAAAGTGTTACTTTTAACTTGTTTTATTAGCTCTCCTGCTAACAGCATGGACAACACGGATGGGAACTCGATAGAGCTCTACGGAGATGAGGAGATTGTTGAAGTCATCGATCTAGACGAGTCCGAGCCTGGTCCAGGTGGGTGGGAAACCCCGTTGACGACGTGACAGGTGTGCAGCTTTCCGTGTCATGACTGTGTGATTCTCTTGTCTCGATCAGATGATTTGGCTGATGATTTGGAGGACGTTGACTTTGAGGACGCTGGAAACACAGATGATGAAGGATGGGAGACCGAGGACGAGATGGAGGATGAGCAAGATGACAGCGAGCTCACCTTCTCCAAACACTCAGGTAGAATCTAACTGATCTTACTGTTGTCAGGTGAATGATGTCTGATCACCTTTTTAAGTTCCTTTTCTCTGCTCAGGCTCAGTGTTCTGTGTGAGTCTGGATCCAGCGACAAACAGCTTGGCTGTGACCGGAGGAGAGGACGACAAGGCGTATGTGTGGAGGCTGAGCGATGGAGAAGTTCTGTTGGAGTGCACAGGTGAGACTGAGGGCTACAGGTAAGACTGAGGGTTACAGGTGAGACTGAGGGCTACAGGTAAGACTGAGGGTTAAAGGTGAGACTGAGGGCTACAGGTGAGACTGAGGGCTGCAGGTGAGACTGAGGGTTACAGGTGAGACTGAGGGCTGCAGGTGAGACTGAGGGTTAAAGGTGAGACTGAGGGCTACAGGTGAGACTGAGGGTTAAAGGTGAGACTGAGGGTTACAGGTGAGACTGAGGGTTAAAGGTGAGACTGAGGGTTAAGGTGAGACTGAGGGTTAAAGGTGAGACTGAGGGCTAAGGTGAGACTGAGGGTTAAAGGTGAGACTGAGGGCTACAGGTGAGACTGAGGGTTAAAGGTGAGACTGAGGGTTACAGGTGAGACTGAGGGTTAAAGGTGAGACTGAGGGCTGCAGGTGAGACTGAGGGTTAAAGGTGAGACTGAGGGTTACAGGTGAGACTGAGGGTTAAAGGTGAGACTGAGGGTTAAAGGTGAGACTGAGGGCTACAGGTGAGACTGAGGGTTAAAGGTGAGACTGAGGGCTACAGGTGAGACTGAGGGCTACAGGTGAGACTGAGGGTTAAAGGTGAGACTGAGGGCTACAGGTGAGACTGAGGGTTAAAGGTGAGACTGAGGGCTACAGGTGAGACTGAGGGCTACAGGTGAGACTGAGGGCTGCAGGTGAGACTGAGGGCTACAGGTGAGACTGAGGGTTACAGGTGAGACTGAGGGCTGCAGGTGAGACTGAGGGCTACAGGTGAGACTGAGGGTTACAGGTGAGACTGAGGGCTGCAGGTGAGACTGAGGGCTACAGGTGAGACTGAGGGCTGCAGGTGAGACTGAGGGCTGCAGGTGAGACTGAGGGCTACAGGTGAGACTGAGGGTTAAAGGTGAGACTGAGGGTTAAAGGTGAGACTGAGGTTACAGGTGAGACTGAGGGTTAAAGGTGAGACTGAGGGCTAAGGTGAGACTGAGGGCTGCAGGTGAGACTGAGGGTTACAGGTGAGACTGAGGGTTAAAGGTGAGACTGAGGGCTACAGGTGAGACTGAGGGTTACAGGTGAGACTGAGGGTTAAAGGTGAGACTGAGGGCTACAGGTGAGACTGAGGGCTACAGGTGAGACTGAGGGTTACAGGTGAGACTGAGGGCTACAAGTGAGACTGAGGGTTGAAGGTGAGACTGAGGGTTACAGGTGAGACTGAGGGCTGCAGGTGAGACTGAGGGCTGCAGGTGAGACTGAGGGCTACAGGTGAGACTGAGGGTTAAAGGTGAGACTGAGGGCTGCAGGTGAGACTGAGGGTTAAAGGTGAGACTGAGGGTAAAGGTGAGACTGAGGGTTAAAGGTGAGACTGAGGGTTAAAGGTGAGACTGAGGGTTAAAGGTGAGACTGAGGGCTGCAGGTGAGACTGAGGGTTAAAGGTGAGACTGAGGGTAAAAGGTGAGACTGAGGGTTAAAGGTGAGACTGAGGGTTAAAGGTGAGACTGAGGGTTAAAGGTGAGACTGAGGGTTAAAGGTGAGACTGAGGGTTAAGGTGAGACTGAGGGTTAAAGGTGAGACTGAGGGTTAAAGGTGAGACTGAGGGTTAAGGTGAGACTGAGGGTTAAAGGTGAGACTGAGGGTTAAAGGTGAGACTGAGGGTTACAGGTGAGACTGAGGGTTAAAGGTGAGACTGAGGGTTAAGGTGAGACTGAGGGCTACAGGTGAGACTGAGGGCTACAGGTGAGACTGAGGGTTACAGGTGAGACTCAGAAACATTGATTAATCTCATCGTCTTCTCCCTCCTGCAGGTCACAAAGACTCGGTGACGTGCGCCGTGTTCAGCCACGACTCGTCCCTGGTGGCCACAGGCGACATGAGCGGCCTGGTCAAAGCTTGGAAAGTGGAAACCAAAGAGGAGATCTGGTCCTTTGAAGTCGGTGATCTGGAGGTGAGTGTGTGTGTGTGTGTGTGCGTGCGTGTGCGTGTGTGTGTGTGTGTGTCTCTGTGTGTGTGTGTTTAAGCTCCAGAATCCACAAATGCTGCATCATCATGAGTGTGTTTGTTTAGTTTGTGCATCTGTGAGCACTCGTGTGAAGTATTTTATTTGGACAAAATGAATTTATGAGGATGACTGCAGGCTGAGAATTGTTTGACGTTCTCCCCTTCCTCAACCTCAAGTGCTAAGTGGCTCTATAGCGAGGCAACAACTCATGGATAATTATACCTTTTTCTTATTGGCTCTTAAAAGTGGAAAACTACAGGGGGGGAAACAATCTGTGCGTTTGTCTGTAAAGTAGCTGTTAACGTGCGGTCGTCTGCCCCGCTTCCTCCTCAGTGGTTGGAGTGGCATCCCTGCGCTCCCGTGCTGCTGGCGGGAACAGACGACGGCAACGTTTGGATGTGGAAGATCCCGTCGGGAGACTGCAAAACCTTCCAGAGCTCTGCGTGCCAGGCCACCAGTGGAAAAGTCCTCCCCGATGGTGAGAGACGCAAATCATCCCCTGAGACAGAAAACTCTTCCCATTCTCTTTTTTTTGAATTCCCCTAAACTCAAAACATGTTCGCACACAAACAGAAGGAAACACAAAGTCAGTGCTGTGAAATATTCACTTATTTAACTAAAATACTACTTTTTTTTTCCCCCAGGTAAGCGGGCGGTGGTCGGATATGAAGATGGTACAGTACGCTTTTGGGACTTGAAGGCGGGAAACGCCGTCCACGTGGTTAAAGGTGAGTCTCCCCAGAATGCATTTCTCAAATCCTTTTAGTTTAAAAGAAGTGCAATCCAAAGCAGTCTTGTTATGTGGACACACATGAGATGAAATCCACTCACATGAGAGTTTTGTTCACTCTGGGTTCAGTTTCATGAAGACTCTTGAACGGGCGGATTTAAGATTTGACATCACATGACTTTTATCGTTTCCTCCAACACGGTAACAACGTTTAATAGAAACAGTAACCACTGTGTATAAAAGCTCTTTAAGTGAGACTATAAAACCATCAGACACTCATCTAATACGGTTGATAAATTAGACGAGAGAAGTGCAAATAAAACGCAACGTAAACCAATGACATAAGAGTCTCGGGTTCTTCTGAGAAGTCATTAAAGGCAGATGCATGACGTGCAAAGTTTTTTCTCTGTTTTCATGCAAAATGCCCGAGAAGACACACTTTCAGATTTAAAACTCGACATTTCTGTGGGGTTTTGCCTAACGCTACAGGTCAGGATGGACACAAGGGGGCGCTGACCTGCTTGGCCTGCAACAAAGACGGCTCTCTGGTTCTGACGGGTTCAGTGGACGGGACTGCAAAGCTCATCAGCACGGTCACAGGCAAGGTGTGTGTCAGAACGACATGACGGATGAAGAAGAAAGAAAACAGACGTGGAAGCAGCAGCATCATCATGTGACTTTTCTTTATTTTTTTTTATCAGCTTCTCACCTCTGTTTGTTTGTTTGTTTGTTTGTTTTTTGTTTGAAAAGGTGGTCGGATGGTTCTCTCTGGAAGTCGGGAAAGCCAAAGCATCGAATGAGGGCGAGGAGTCCAACTCTGTGGAATCTGTCGGCTTCTGCAACATGTGAGTTCGGCAGCATTGTGTCTGTACTTTAGTGGAAGTCAACAGCTGCATGTTTAATGTAAGACTTCACATTGAAAGCCTGAATGAAGAGGAGATCAAACCGAGCTCTACGTGTCCTTAAGGTGTCGTTCCAGCAGCCACTATGTGTTGATTTTGAATCTTTTAAATCAAACAAGTAAAAGCATCACACTGCTGAAGAGTAATGTGTGTCTGAAATGTGTAGAATCACACGAGTGCTTTAAAAATGTCTCCGTCTTCTGTCTTCTCTGCAGTCTGCCCCTCATCGCCTTAGCGTACCTGGACGGGACTCTGGCCATATTCGACCTCTCCACACAGGTCCTGAGGCACAGATGCCATCATGAGGTAACATGAGACTGTATATATATCGTACCACCTGTGACAGAGTGCCCATATAAGGAGCTCATGTTTGTATTTTAAACAGCAGCACTTTAAAGCTAGAACCACTTAATGAGAGAGATCGGTCACAAACCCTAATAAAGATGTCTGTGTGTCCCTGCAGGCTGGCATCGTCCACCTGCAGTGGGAGGATTCTTCTTCTGTGGTGTCCACCTGCTGCTTAGACGGAGTGCTGCGCTTATGGGACGCTCGCTCCGGCGGCATAGTGTCAGAGTTCCGCGGCCACGCGGCGGAGGTCCTCGACTTCAGCATCAACAGGTGATGCACTGAGAAAGCGTATTTGTGTGTAGCTGTCTGCTTTGCGGTGAATTTAAAAGAAGTTGATGTCGCCCTCGGATGTCTGACTGTCTCTGTCTCCTTCAGGGAAGGGACAGTCGCAGTGACCGCTTCAGGAGACCACCAAGCCAAAGTTTTCTGCATCCAAAGACCGGATCGATAAAGAGAGCGGGAAGAAACAAGAAAAAGAGGAAGAAGAGGAGAGGAAACATTTCAGGACTTTTCTAATCAGACTCTTTCTTCTCTTATCGTGGAGAACATGCTCCCCCTCTCCTCAGGATTTAAACAAACAAAAAAAAAGTCATGACGTGCCACCATCTCTGACTGTGTGTCGCATCTCGAACGATGACCTCAGCGGGGGCCTCTTAGCAGATGTTTAAGCTGAGTCAAGTACAAGAGCAGATCTTGATAGATTTCTATTGTTAAGAAGAAGCTCGTCTTCATCATGACTTTACCTCTAAGTGAGAGACTAAACAGAGACTAAACAGAAATAGAGAAATTCAAAGAGAGATAAATAAACGCGTTCTTCTCCTTGGACGACCCGTTTTAATCCTTTGCCAGAAATGTTTGAGGTAAAACAGAAGACAGAAAACAGGATTTTTCTTTGGTCTTGGTTGTAATTTGATCTCCTTAATTTGAGTTTTATGTCTTTTAAGTTTCTCAAAGTCCTAGTTTCCCTATTTTGGTTGTCTGATGTGTGTGTGTGGTCTTCCAGCTCTCAGTCAGAAAAATGTCCTCGCCAAAATGTTCCTTCTGATGTACCCTAAAGTGTAAATACAAAATAATAAATAAAATGCCTTCTTCTTGATGGACCATGGAAAGTGATGTGTTGTGTAACTTGCTCGTCAACCTCATCTGCATGAGAGAAATCTCTGTTTATACTCCCCATCTATTTCAGTCTGAGTTTAGATAAGCTGGATCTCAACCTCCAGGACCAAAGTGGACACTCTGTGGGGTCATAGTCACATGAGAAAAGGAGACAATCGAATGTGAAATCAGCGTGGGCCTCTCTCTTATTTAGACTATCTCTGATTGAGGAGTAACTCAGCTCTGTTTCATCAGATAAAAGCAAAGAGAGGAGATGAATCAGTCTCAAGAGGGCTTCCCAAAAATCTACAATCAAGATGTGATTAAAGGTAGAAAACTGTTCATGCGAGGGAGTACAGATGCATACAACATTTATACTCTTGTAGTCTTCTCTCAGCTATGACAAAAAATCTGTTTCTGTTGGATGCTTTTTTTTTTTTTTAAACAAAAGGAAGTTTGAGATTTTTTTTATATTGATCATGTCAGAAAAACATCATCCGATATGTCCTGTCCTCTCTTTCCCTCATGACGACTGCACGAGAACTTGCTGGAAAACTTCGGGTGTGACGATCTCGGTCATCATGAAATCATTTGTTGAAAAAAGCGGAATGCTCCTTTAAATTTCATAGAATAAAAAGTTTCCAGTTTGCACGATGAAACGTCACAAACCAATCAGCTCGGACTACTGCAAAAAGTAGAGCAACAGCAGCATTTCACAACCTGTACTCGTGCCCTACAATCAGGAGGTGCATTAGCTCAGCAGCCGCTTTGTAGTTTGTTTCTGTGTCAATACTTTAATAGAGGCCAGGCTTCCGCTCATATTAGCCTACATGTGTGACTAAGTGTCTGCTAACATCAATCAGCTGCACTTAAAGGCCTCCTGGTTGTCACATTGACTCACTTTAATGTATATGTTGCACTGCATGATGGGTAATGTTGTGTATTAGTGGACATGACAACCAGCAGGGCGTTACCCTCACCTTGATAAAAAAAAAAAAAAAAAAGCAGGCTGGGTCAAAGTGGTTTAACTGAAGGGAAATCAGACGAATGCATCGCTTCTGAAAACGTGATTTCTGCTCTTCCCCCTGAAAGACGTTTTAAAAGTTTTTCTGTTCCTAAAAATCTATTTTTGTCTCCTGCCCTTCGTGACTCTTACGAGGGAGCAACAAGAAGCAGAAACAGCCGTCGGTATCCTGTGCACAAGTGCTTCCTCTGTGTACCTGGCTTCTCAGCTCATGCACTCACACGTGTGTTAACTCACAAACAGGAAGGCAGTAAAACACATGCATGTACAAGCATGTTTGTGCACTTCTTGCAGGCATTGTAAAAACATTGTTCAGTCTGGTGCAGATGAAAACAAATCTTTGCATGCAGCTGGAGCACGGCGGTGTGTTTGGCCTCAAAGGTCAGTGAGTGGCCTGAGGGATTATCACCTTAAACCCGGACAGGGATGGAACCTGATCCATTAAACTGCGGCTTTATTCTCAGACGGCTGATTTGCTGATAAAGCATGCTGAACAAATCGTTTAAGTGGAGAAAGGCAGCTGCTGGTGCCAAGGTAAACATGTCTGGAGGAAGAGGAGGCAAAGGACAAAGCCATTAAAAATACATCTGTGTCACAAAAACTGGAAATTAAAAGTCAGTCTGTACATCTTGCAAACAGGTCAGGACAATAAAATGTAAAAAGTGTGGTTACAAACAGTTGAGGTTTTTCGTTGAAGTAGCAGAAACGGACACAGTTGAAAAGTTGGTGAAAAGGAAATGCAACAAGAAGTTGAAGTTTCAGTTTTGATGTCAGCACTTAAAGAAGGCTAAGAGTCATGAGTTGGCAACTTTGGATAGACCTGCTCGGGTTCTTCTTTAGTGCCCCTAACTTGACTAAAATGTTTTGACCTCCTTTCTGTGTGTCCCTTCATTTAATCCTGTCACATTAAGTCTTTCCTCTGTGTATAAAATAACCCAGATTAGTGATGGACTGTTGTCTAGGACCAAGCGTTCAGCGTCTCCTGTTTTGTAACGTGCAGATGTTGTTGTTTCATGTCCTGCTCGTCCTCCCTGCGTAATATCTCTGTTTGAATCCATTATCTGACTGGAACTCGACCAGGTTCTGCTCACGACTATCGCTGAAGGGAGGCTTCCGTGTTTGGCTAACAAAGCAGCTCGCCACCGGCCTTCCATCCAACGCTGTGTTTAAACACGAGGCGTGTGTGACAGCTGTTTTGAAGGGAGACATACACACTGTTGGATGTATATGTTTAGGTTACTCATGGGGCAGAGAAAATGTTTTTCAGCTTACTTTGAGTATTGTATGTGAGTCAGGTACGGTGGATGATTAAGATAAACTGAAATTTTGCTACCTTTTAAATTTAGGGGCCCAAAATGTATAAATGGAAACTCTAAATGGAAACTCTAAATTTACAGAAAAGGTTAACCCGGTGGCACCAGTAGCATAACAATTAGTGCGTACACCCCATGTACAGAGGCAGGTCATTCCCCAAAAACACATCTTAAGACCATTTCTTAAACACTTATAAAATCCTTCTTGGAAAAACAGTTGACTGTTTTTCTGATTTCAGAAGCACACCCCATCCTTGTGTAACAGAGGTTAAATCCTAAATGACTTTTATACATATTGCAGAAGCTGTCTGTAAATGTCTGGGAGCCTTTACGGAGGATGAAAAGATGAACCACATGCCAGGCCGGCCGGGTGATGTTACTCTGGAATGTTATCACTCACCGGCTGCAGCGATAACAGCTTTCTGTCCTCTTCCATTCCTGGATGTGCTCTGCAACCATAGACAATGAAAACAACCTGGACAAGCTCAAAGATGTGAGAAATATGAAAAAAAAAAAAAAGGGGTGGGGGGGGAACTGGAAGAGTAAGTAGGTTAGGGTAAAGTGGACTGTGCTGCCTCATCCTCAGCATGACCCACCTCTCAGGAAAGAGACACTCGTCCTCCTCCTCCTCCTCCTTCACTGAGCACTTCCCCTTTAAACTATCTGAGCGGAGCAGCCTCACACTTGGCCGCTCGATCCGTCTCTTCTGTAGCTTCCGGTGAGGGGTTTGAAATGTTCCTGTGGCTGACTGATAAAAAAACAGCTTTGGTTTAAGTAGCATTTCTTTTCCTGTGGGTATGACATGCAGGGGAGCAAGCTCGGAGTTACCAGGAGAGTGATAAGAAGCTGTGTTTCATCTCCTTTGGCAAAGGATACAAGACTGGATTGTTCATGTCAAGGTAAATGTCATTATTTTAAATGAAAAAGAAATCTTAATTTGTAGATGATCATGATTATCTGGGGATACATTTATTTTAGTTAATTTATCTCATAACAGGAAGAAAATGAAAGTAACATAAATCCAACATGACGAGGCATTAAAATGAAGACAAACTGCATTTGTCTGTGTATTGACCTTTTTAAACTCCTGGATCTCTAACAGGACTTTGATGCTATAAAACTCCCTTTATTTAACTTGCTTGCTAGTAAATGGTATGTAATGTATGTGGACACTGGTAACACCAACTTTATTGTGAAATGTTATGTTTAATTGTCATACAGTCAGGCGAAACATCTATCAAAAGAGCTTACACTGAAATCAACTTGAAATAACTGTGCATAAAAAGCTCATTAAGACGGCATTAAGACATTAAAAATGTAATATCACCGTGGTTTATTACGGTTCAGTGTAAGACAAGTAAACATTTCCTCTGGTCACAAAGTCAGACTCGTTAAAGTATCTCCAGCACATGGATCACTTTCTGAAATTTAACAAACACAAAGGAAGGTGTAACTCCAGAGTCCCCTCTGATGAATTATTGAACAACAGCATGCCTCACGTCCATTACCATGTGCTCTTATCAGCTACAAAGAGATTAGATCTGCTGCAGCGGTCAAAGGATGACAGGAAGGAGAACTGTGCACTGATGTTGTAGTTGTTGTTGTTGTTGTTGTGTTGCAATGCTTGTCTTGTGTTGTAAGTTTCTTATTTTCTCACGCTGAGACACCAAAGAGTGTGAACAAATCAGAGGTCATTTCAAAATGAGATGTTCTAAAACTAGCAAAAGCTTCTCCTTAGTGACTTTTCTGAACTTGGAACATAAGATGAAATATTGGGTAGGACAGTTAGATTGATTGCAGCCTTTAAAAGTGTTTGTGATTTAGTTAATCTAAAAGCTGGCAAGCATCGACAAACTCCAATGTGATCAAATCAGAGAGTGTTTAAAGTACCTCATCTGTATGATGTATATTTGTAGGCCAACATGGTTCTTAGTAACACTCAGGTTCATTGGACAAAAAGCTGGATGGATTTTGTCTTTGGATTTATTGTGGGAGAAACTTGTTGGGTTCTCCAAAGATCGTATTTTCAATCCAAAAACTTGAGCAAAGACGGCTACCCATTTCTTTTTTTTTAGCACTCCATATAAGCTAGACTGATATAAAAATATACCCATACTTGATGCTCTCTCTATTCGTTCCTTTGAGTCCATCTCTTAAAACGTTTCCTCTCTCTCTGTCTTTCCATCGTCTGCCTCATGAGTTATTGGAAGTCTGGTCCAATTCTTTTTCCCTCATGAGGGTGAACACGTAACCTCCTCTGCAACATGGCCTCTTTATTTCAATCAGCGGGTTCTCTCTTTCTATTCCCTGCTCAGGTTAACTGAATGAAGCTTTCATTCACTTAAAGAGGGTTCCATAACATCGTGGCTGCAGAGTAACATCTTTATCTTCTGTGATGTCTTCAGTGTATGTCCCTGCTTCGACATTAGTCATCTCTCTGCGTAGTTTAACACCGCAGTGTATTCATGATAACACACTCCTCATCATATCCTGCTTCTTTTTCTTGTGAATCTAATTTTTCATCTCGACTTCATTTCCTCTGCAAGTTTGTTCATGCATGTTGAGCAATAAAAAAAACAAACCAGAAGTTCACAAAAAGGTCACTTGAAAACTGAGCTTTTGGCTGCTTTAACACCGCCTCTGTTCCCTCACAGGGTAGCTGCACCTTGATGGGATTGGACCGGGTCTCAAAATGGAAGGAAGTCCGCAGATTTCAAACGTGATGGAAGGCAACGACTCCCTGGCTTTGGTGTCCGGGGAGCGGCTGATCTACGCCATCACCATACCGCTGTCCACTTCCATCATCCTTGCCAACCTCGTCATCATCTTGGGCATCGCCTGCAACCGCCAGCTCCACAACACGCCAAACTACTTCTTCCTCAGCCTGCTGGTGGCGGACCTCTGCACAGGCTTGGCGTTACCGTTCATACCGTTGATGGGCGTGAACCGGCAGTTGAGTTTAAACTCCTGCATGGTCGCCCACATTTTCCCAAACTTCCTCTTCCTCGCGTTCCTATTCAACCTCGTCATGGTGCACTATGAGCGCTACATATGCATCGTTAACCCTTTGCATTACAATAACTTGTGGATGCATCGCAGCTTCCCTGTCGCGTTGCTCGTAGTTTGGGCACCACCGCTTCTGTACGCATCTCTACCCGCATTCGGCTGGAGTAACTGGACAGGACTGGATTGGAACGGCTGTTGCGCAGGAAGTGGAAAGTTACCGCCGCTTTCCAACTGCTCTGCAAATGTAACCGCCTGCTGCTCCTACAGACGAGTATTTTCAAACGCCTTCATCTACTTGGAGGTGTACGGACTCGTCTTACCTGCCATTCTCACCATCGCTTGCATGACCGGTCGTGTGTTGTGGATCACCCGAGGCCAGCTGAAGGACATATGTCGTCTCCATCGTTCGGTCGAGCGAGGCAATCAGGCCTCGTACCATGAGCAGAGGTTGAACTTGCGCTACACTCGCTGCGTTGTAGCCGTGTCGCTAACGTTCCTAGCATGCTGGGTCCCCTACCTCATTTACATGCACGTATGCATAGCGTTCTTAATCAGCGACACTAAATGGAGCTCTACCACTCACATTGTGCTGTCATGCACTGGTATTGGAAGCATGGCAGTGGTCCCGCTGGTGCTAGGCTTGGCTAACAAGCAGTACACAGAGCCGGCGTACAAGCTTCTCCAGAAACTCAGAGACAGATGGAGGCGAAGGACGCAGGGTTCAGAGGAAGTGGATGTCTAAGGAAAGACTGTTAAAGATGAATATTTATGAAAATAACAACAGGTTTCTGAGGTTGATGAACTGCATGTGTACTGTATCTTGATCAATGCAACCAGAAGGGAGTATTATGTTAGAGCAGATATCACATTAGCATTGATTCTTTCAGGATGTATTTATAAATGTTCCTGTAAAATACAATAATAATGCTATTAGAAATATGATTCCTGTTTGTTGCTGTTCATTGCTGATGCCTTCTTGTTGCAAGTTTCCAATTTGACACCAATATCAGAAAACATGCTAGCAGAGATAAATGACATGACACATGGAAATGGCAGCTTTAAGACACGATTACAATGAATCTGAAATGTTTAACAAATCAAAAACCTGCCTAATGGAGAAGCTAAATTATTACTGTCCCGACATTCTGAAGAAAGGTTAATAAAACCAGCCTTGTTTAAGTGTTGTACATCGTAAAAATATAACTCAAAGACATAAAGCATATGCTCATATCTCTATGTGCTGCCTGTTTAACTGGTCGTAGATATTCTCCATCTGTCACCCTCTTCACAGCGATGTTTACTCCTACTCCCCTCCCGAGTGTTTATCTATGCACTGGTATGTGAGCTGAAGAGGGGAGAGGGATTCATCCACGGCCTGTAATACATCTGCAAGACTAGCAGAGATTAGGGCTCCAGTAAAAACCTGAAGAGAAACAAAACTCTACACAGTAATGTGTTTCCAGTTTGTGCCATATAAAGATAAATATAACAGTCAGAGCAGGTTTTTTACTCCAGAGATAATCTGCTGCTGGCAAACACTGGTGTTCAAAGCTGAACGTTTTATTTGCTCTAGGATCCATTCAGGGGAAATTAGATTTTTATTTGAGACTTGATTAAACAGAATGTACTGGATGTCGTGGTTATTTGTTTCCAGGCCACATCGCAGCTTTAAATGTGTGCAGACGTGGGTGGAAAAGAGACGGCCAGTATACGTGAGCTGAGGAGGTACAGCAGACTTTAATCAAATTAAAGCGCAAACAAGGTACAAACTGTTACGGGACATTATGAGAGATGGGATATCATCATGAGGCCAAGGTACACCGTCTGTGCTGCTCTGCTAACTTAAAACCATGTTCCAGTACGTTTTCCACATTGGAATCTCATGTGTGTCCGAATGACATGAGAGAAATGGGAAAGGCGGCGAAGAGGCGAGACTGCAAGGCTCCAGCTAATGACTGGCCGCTGCTATATCTATCCATTTATCTAACACAGTGCCTAAAACGTGTCTGCATTCTTAGCATTTGGGGAATATGGCTAAAAATTGTCTTTCTGAAAGTGACATGCCCTCAGATGTCTAGCTGGAGCTTACAGCCTGTTAGCTTAGCTCAGTCAAGAAAATGTGGACAACAGCTAGCTTTACAACTCAATACATAGGGCGCCAGACCAACCACTACGCCACCGCTGCCCCAGTGTTTGAATTCTAAATATTTGGAAAGGTGCAATAAAATGATTATTATTGTAATCATTATTATTATTTACATAAACCTTTCAATATAACAAGGTTTCAGTGTTAACCTTAAGACAGAACTAAATCGGTTCTCCCCTTTTCCAGGGTTTATGGAGAAGCTAAGCTAAAAGCTAAGCTAACTAGCTCTCGGCTCCAGCTGCATTTTTTATTTGTTTTGCAAAAAAGTAAAGATTTCCGCAATTGTTTCAAAGTGTGAAAGAGAAACGGGAGCAGACATATTGTTCGTGTTGCTTTATTTGTTGTATTTCATTGCACTTGTCATACCAACAGTCATTCCTGTACTGTCTTGTGATTTTTGCTGATTACTATAATGTTTGAGGTAAAAAAAAAAAGGTGCAGATAAATGTGAGAAAAGAGAACAGTTCCAGCATTTCAGACTTGCTACCAATCATTTTTTCTTTTCCCCGTAATCCTACATGAACACACAACACTGCAACACGGACAAAAAAATGGGTTTTTCAATTCACATTTTTTTTAAACCATTTCACATTTGCCATCACTGAACCATTTTTGCTTCCCTCGTGTGGTAGAGGGGGGGAGTGTGAAAAACTACTGCATGATCCAAAAATTCTCCATTTTGTTTTCCATTTCATTCTAAAACCTTTAAAGATGAAATTTAACTTCACATTAAGTAGATGTATATTTAATACTGATTGAGAGGACAGTGCAAGTCAATCTTCAGAGTAATGAGAGCTTTCAGACACAACTCTGCCTTCCTCCACTTCCACTCGGATCAGGACTCGTTTCTTGGAGGCGGGGCACATCGGCGTGGTAACGGTGTCCTCAGGGGTAATGGTGGTTTCCGGGACAGCAGTGAGTTCAGGGGCTTGTCGCTTCTCTGGCAGGTGAACGTCTGCATGCAAGTAAGCAGTGGGATTGGTTTGTTTTTACAAATCTGAGTGGGAGAGAGGTTTGATTTTAGTGGGGCACGAGACGTGAATCAATCTTTAACAAGCTGGTCTTGATCATGGATGCCGTGTTTTTGTTGTAATCATCTTAATATGTAGCTAAGTTTGCTTGTTATTGTGTTAACTAAAGGATCAGGTCAACGTTTTGGAAGGTTTTATTTGTCCAGCATGCATTGAAAGTAGTAGAAGTTTTAGATTTAACGGCTAAAATGTCAGAAAAAGTAAAAAATAAGTCTCACCTGCGTTGCGCATGAGCTCCCTCATTCTTCACACACATGGAGAAGAGACAGATGTTAGTACGAGTATTTCTAGTATATTTCATCAAACAGCATCATGAGTTAATGCATTGAATAGATGCTTGTAAGTACCTCTGCTCCTCGCCCTCCAGCAGTTTGCGGTAGGTGGCGATCTCGATGTCCAGAGCCAGCTTCAGGTTCATCAGCTCTTGGTGTTCGCGGATTTGTCCGGCCAAGTCCTGCTTGGCCCGCCTCAGGGCGTCCTCCAGCTGGACGATGTCCCTCCGAGCCGTCCCCAGGTTGGTGTCTCCTTCTGTCCTCACCTCGTTGATCTCCTTCTTCAGGGCCTCTTCCTAACATGGAAACAGAGGGGATCAGAGGCGGCTGGGTAGGACAGAAACATCTCGCGATAGAAGTATTTCTCTGAGTGATCCAAACCTTTCTCTGAAGAGCCTCCAGGTCTCCGGTTAGCCTCTGAATGAGACGCACCATGTCTGAGATGTCCCTCTTTAAATCACGCACATCCTGCTCACGTTGCCCTGCACTCAGGACCATGGCGTCCATCTAAGAGAGGGAAGCAAAGAACTGTTAACATTGTCATGATGTGTGAAATTAACTGAAGCCGTACCAGGCACGTTTTCTTCTTCTTTGGGTGTAATAAAACTTTCCCTTACCTTCTTCTGGTTCCACTGCTCGGCTTCCTCCCTGGTGCGAGAGGCAATGTTGGCGTACTGATTCTTGACACTGTCAACAATCTCATCCATGTCCAGACTCCGTTTGCTGCTGTCACGCAGGACCACTGTTTCATTCTGGACCTGAGACTCCAGCTCCTTTATCTCCTGCAGGGGGCGCACACGGGTTCATTTAATATGTCTATTTAAATGTTCAATAAAATAAAGAAAAGCACAATTATTACCTCATCATATCCAACCCTGAGGAAGTCTAGTTTTCCCATAAGGTCCTCCAGGTCCAGAACTAGATCCACAGCCTCCAGGTGACCTTCGTCCACGTCCTTTTTCACACACACATTAACACACACACATGCATTATACATGGATGCAACAATGCAACAAACAAATACGCAGCAGTAAAAGTTTCGGTTACCTTTTTGGTGACGATAAACTCATTCTCCAGTTCAGCTTTCTTTTGCAGCTCCTTCTCGTAGCTATAACAAAGAAAAGAGATGATTAATGTTGAACTAGAGGAGACAGCTGTTGTGTCGAGTCAAATAAACTGTGACCTGCCGACCTTTCCTTGGTGTCCTCCACCTCCTCCTGCTTCTTCAGCAGATCTGCCCTCAGCTTTTCTTGGTCAGCCAGCAAGTTCTGGATCTGCTGCTCCATCTCGTTCTCCAGCTGCTTGACGATGTCGTCGATTTTCCCCTCGTAGTCCTGCTGCTCCTTCAGGATATTCAGCTTTGTGTCAAGCTTCTTGTTCTCATCCTCCAGGTTTTTCACCTTAGATAGAAACAAAGTGTGTATTATAAAATCTGCAACTTATCAAATATGTGTTTGTTTTCACCCAGTGAGCCTCAAGTCTTTCAACTGTGTTTTGGTTGACTGATAAAATTCCCCTTTTGGAGCTCAAACTGAAAGTTACATAACTGTCCACAAGATGGCGTCCTACATGTACCTCCACCCTTTATACATTGACCAAAGCTTGAAAAATAAGACACTTTTCATTCCATTTCATTCATTTCTATTTTCAGGAGGGTTTTAGCTGTTTGCATGGGCTCACATGAAGAATTTGGAATGCAAATTCATGTCAAAAATTACAAAAAAAGCCCAACAAATGTATTTATAGGCCTACCATGTGGCCTAATTACATTTTTTAAAAAATGTTTAAGCAGCAAAACCCAGAAAGAAACTATATCCTATAGTAGCCTATATAATATCGTTTTTATTAATTTTCATTGTTTTAGTGTAATGAGTAGGCTATTAATATAATTCTAAACTGATAGATTGTTAAATAATTTATATTCTTTTTATGAATATCCCGTCTTCTTTTTACTACGTAGCTGTGACGCATTCTTTTTTTAAGTGGCAAGCTAACTTAATTGATATAATTAATGCTGTAAATAATGAATTAACCTAGCATAAATTGATTTTTAAAACTGTTTAATATTTCTCTAAAATTATTCAAATGAATAAAAATCAGATAAATTAATAATAATAACAGAATCAACCATTGAATTGTATTGAACTAAAACAATAATAGTAAGCTTTTACATTATGATTAGGCTACTTGTAGCAGGCCTAGAAGTATAATTAGTCATTTTTAATTGTTTATCACATTTATTTAATTAGTGCATTTGCATAACGGACATTATTGACATTATCTACATACCTTGTCAATCAGCCGGACGAACTTGTCGTTGAGTCCCACCATGTCGTCCTTCTCCCTGGACTTGCCCGTCCCGTCCACCTTGTTGTTGGTCGGTTGGCTCTTTGCTGGCCCCGTGGTCCGGGGGCTGTAGGACTGGCTACTGTAATCTTTAGCTTTAGACATACTGCAACCTTTTACCTCGAGCTGACACCTGGAAGATGAACTGGTGAGCGGTGAAGGTACCTGCAGCCCTCCTTCACCTGCTTTTAAGGTGGGCAAGGACCACCTGTCACCTCCCCAAACTCCGCATGTGTCCAATCAAAAGAAGACAGGTACCGTTTTACAGTGAGAAAAAACGGAATGCCAACATGAAAAACTTGAATTTCAACTGTAGACCAGTTTGTCCAGGGGTGGTGGTGGGCAGCGGGAGCCAATAACATCCTTAGGGAGGATTCAAGAAGAAAATAACGGGTATAAAACCCACCTGAGTCCTTCACCTACATTCATCAGGTGACTCTCCTGCCTTCCTCGCTCTCCATCTCTCTCCGATCCAAAAGCAGCCATGCCTTCAAAAAACACCGCAGCCAGCATGTTCGGTGGAGCCGGGGGAAGGGGCTCTAGGGCGTCCGTCGCCAGCCTGGAGGGGCTGCGTAACATACTGCGTAACGAGACGGAGAAAGACTCCGCACCTCCAGCTCCAGCACCTGCCGCTCAGCCCGCAGCTCCCGCAGCCCCCGCGGCCCCCGCGGACGACAAGCAGACTCTGCGGGGTCTGAACGACAGGCTGTCCGGATACCTGGGCAGAGTGAGGCAGCTGGAGAAGGAGAACGGAGGCCTTCAGAAGCAGATTGATGACATTTTGGCCAAGAGGAAAACTCCAGCGGGACGGGACTGGGATAAGGTGGAGCAACCTTTGGATGACCTCAAGAAGCAGGTAAGCATCAGATGTGTAGTTTTAATTTTTCAGATTGTACATTTAAAATGACTATTGGTCTTTGATATATCAAATTCAGCATATTTTTCCAAATTTACTCTCTAATCAAATATGAAAAAATACATTGAATATTTTCAAACAGAATAATTTTACTCTATGTCTTAAAATCTGAGACACACTTGTAATAGACATGATGTTTTGAAATCTTTAGATCAAAGACCTGACCTTGGACAACGCTAAGCTGCTTCTCCAGATTGACAACACCAATCTTGCTAATGATGACTTCAAGGAAAAGTGAGTTCCATTAAACACTAGTTTAGAGCATTACTGCAAATGCGTGCTTTTAGTGAAGTTTTTTCTTCATTTGAATTTGAAAAACACGAGTCCGTAGTGTGTTTCTGTTGATCAGTGTTTGGTTATTGTCAATTTGTGCAGGCTGGAAGATGAGAAAAAGGACCGCAAGCAGCTGGAAAAGGACTTGGAGGATCTGAAGAAGACCATTGAGGACACCAAGATGAACGTCAAGCAGACGCAGAAGGAGATCGACCTGGTGAAGGAGGAGATCGCCCGCTTGACCAAGAGCACAAAGAGGTGACACCGAAACAATAAAAACACTTTCAGATCAAAAGTAGTGTAACCAAATCTGAGGCTTACTTTTCTAAGTGTGGCTCTTGTAGGAGGTTGACGTCCTGCGTGAGAAGATCAAGGACTCTGAAGTGACTGTGGAGATCGACTCCCTCAACTCAAACCTGTCAGAGATGCTCAACAAGGTCCGTGGGCAGTACGAGAAGCTTGCCAAGAAGAACCTGAAGGAGACTGACGACTGGTATCAGAGCAAGGTGCGTCACCCAGCATGATCTGAGAGTTCAGTTTCTTCTCACACTGTTTATTTCACCATTTCTCTGTGCTTCTTTCTCCACAGTTTGACCACATCAAGGTGGAGGAGGCGCAAACCAACGAGGCCTTTGTGACCGGAAAGACAGAGCTCAAGGATCTGCTCAAACAGAAACAAACTCTGGAAATCAAGATCCAGAGTCTGCACAGCATGGTAACCACACACATAGCACTAATAACACATCATCAACACTTCCATTAAATATGACTTCATCTGGAACTTCACTCTGTCGCACACATCAGCTACAGTTTGGATTTGAGTAAAGGGCTCACTTTGAAGACAGCTCTCCATGATCCAGGCTTTCATATCCTGTAATCCCACTCCACTTTTGCAGAACATGTTGACATACGACTAATAATTGTTCTCAAGTCAAGGTGAAACCCCTTGAGGCGTACAAACACAGACTCGTGTCAGAAATGTTAAAACCAGGGTTGTTAGTCTACCCGTCCATTTCACAAGCATTCCTCACTGCCCTGTCATTAAACTGCAAACCTGCTTAAACCACACCGACTGGATCTGTTGAGATCTGAGGGGCTGCTCTTGAAAAATGACAAATGACAAACAGTGTTTTTTTTTTTTTGGTCTTTCTTATATTACGTCGATTATTTCAGATCAACAATCTGGAGGAAACCTTGCAGTCCACCAAAGTGGAGTACGGTCAACGCCTGGGCCCCCTCAACAAGATGATCCTCGACCTGGAGAAAGAGCTGAAGGAGGTCAGGGCAGAGGTGGAGCGCCTGGTCGAAACCAACAAGAACCTGCTGTGTGTCAAGATGAAGCTGGAGGCGGAAATCGATAACTACCAGCAGCTGATTCATGGCATGACGGTTGAGCCTGAAAGGTGAGAAGTCAGAAAATACGGAAATACTTCATCTTGGTTGCAGTTTTTATGAAGTCAGAGCTACAGAATTAAATGTGGTTTTAACATTCCCGCCTCTGACTGGGCAAGTAGCCAATCACAGTTGAGTATTTCTGGGGTGGAACTTGGGGTGGCCAATAAGATTTCAAAGGGGGGCCCATGCCAACCCTGTGGACCTGCCCCTGCTTTAAGTATTGGCATTAACACAGCCTAATACAAACAATAGCATGGTGTACCTGTTTCCTGCTAGCTTACTTAACATCTTTTTCTCTGACAGCTCGGACCTTTCTTTAGAGGACGCGCTAAGTAGCGGTAAGTTCTGGATCCGGAGAGGAAAAAAACAATTACAAAAAATAACACTGACTTTATCATGTTAGCATCATGGCCTGATTGAAAAGTTTATCTCTGCAGCAGAGTCTCGCAAAGGGAAATAAATAAACAAATCTCTGAACTTGACTTTAGCTTCTCTTACAGTTTGATTGTGGATTTGAAAGAGCGTTATGACTCTCCTTGCGAGCAGAGTTAAACTCTTTAAAGCAGACAGGTCCGTCTTCTCTTCAAATTCAGTTCAAGAAAGAATTGGATTGTTTTGAGATTCACTAAAATGCACTTTTAACTCAACACACTGCACCCTGTTACTGCATGCATTCACGCCCAAGTTAACACCACATGATTTTGACAAGGAAATAAATCACAAAAGAAGAAGAAATCTGTCCATTTGTTGTCTCTTGTGTAAAAATGCATGTAGTAAAGTGATGCTGACATGCATTAAAACTGAATGATCTTGCTTCCAGACCAGCAAAAGCCTAAGACAGAGGTCCCAGAAGAGCAGGTAAAAGTGAAAGAAGAAGTCCTTGTGGAGCAAGAAGGTGCACCCTCCATCCAATCTGCTACCCCAAAAGCCCCTGAGGATGCCCCGACTACTGAAGGAAACCCCATCAAGGAGGAAAAGGTTGCTGTCGACAAAGCAGCAGCTCCGCCAAGCACCAGCAATACTAAAAAGAAAGCGCCCAAGAAAAACAAAAAGGATTCATCCTCCTCTTCTTCTTCTTCCTCCTCCTCCTCCTCTCCTCCTCCTCCTCTTCTTCCTCTTCCTCCGACGATGAAGATCAAAAGGCAAAGAATGAGGCTAAAGTGGCCAAAGCCTGATTCACAATCTGTTCTTTTTACTGCTCTGTGTCATGACAGTCTGTCTGTAGACTTGTAAAGCTGCCATGAGATTGCTGTGGTGTGTTTTCCTCAAATGTCATGAAATAAAATACATTTGATTTCAAAAGAAGGTCCCATTGTTTCATTTTCTGCCTTTTTGGATGGATGACTTATGTTGCAATTCACTAATTTACCTTCAATTTACTTTAATGATCACTGAGTGAATTGCTCCCCACCCTCGGGTACTTTTGCAGAAGCCAGGTAATATTTGGCACATTTGGGCTGCAAATACAAATGATTTTTATCACTGTTAAGACTTATTTTGTGTATAATATGCCAATAAAATTTGAAAATGTTCATTACAATATGCTAGAACAAGAGTCCCCAGACCCCCTTCAAGCTAAATTTCGTAGTTACGTCAAACATAACGATGGCAAACATCAATATTAAACGTTAATTAACTGTTAGCAAAAATCCAAAGAAGAACCACACTCATGTTGAACAGTCTTCTGATCAGACTGGTGGTGTGTTTTTTCCATTTTAAGAGAAGGTGGGTTGTAGTGGTATAGCAGTTTATTGTTACATCAGTGTCACTCATAGAGGCTGCTTGATTCTGATTGGATAGTGAGGTTTTTTTTTTTTATTGAAAAAGATTGGCATAAAAAAGAACAATCATTTTGATATGCAGCGTTTCATAATGTCTAAAAGGGAATATATTAAACATGTCATTGTCACTAATACATTTTTTAAGTTTCCCCTCCCCATCCCTCCAATGATTCACGACCCCCCCTTTGAAAACCACAGTCCTAGAATACAAGCTGTCAAACGTCTTCACTATAAAGCCCAAATACTCAATTACTATAATCTCAGACCAAACTAATGGAATATTCATTTGTTATTTTCCTTCTTATCCATTTTCAATTTACCAATAACTTCTTTTGGCTCAATTTATTGACAATTACTGAGAAAAAAAAACACGCTACTACCAGAGGATTTTTTTTTTTTTTGTAAGAGTGATTTATTTATTTTTTAATGACAATGGTTCAGACAACATGAAAGCACAGAGAGGGAGGAAGGGGGAGTTGAAATCATCCAACACATGGATATTGTATGGTGGGGGGGTTTGAGGGGCAAGCAAGAGTACCAAATGGAGTAAAAGATATCGTATCAAAAATTTCATTTTTTTCATATATATATTTATATAGGACTAATAATTCTCTTTAACTATGCAAAGCAAGGAATGCCCTTTTTTCCATTTATCTTGAGCCGTGGCTTTCCCTACGAAGAGCAAACATTATTATTCATAAAAAAAAAAAAAAGAAGACTGGACACGTTTTTTTTGGGGGGGGAGGGTTTGGGCGGGGGCGTTAAGATGTGTCCTTGAGTCCTGTCCGATGTGGCGTTTGAGTCTCAGTGTAGCGCGTCTGGGCGTGTCCACGGGGGGCGGGGGGGGGTCTGGATCTGGCCTCAGCGTGAAAAGGTCTTTCCACTAGAAAATGACACAAAGACACATTTATGTCAGAAACGTACTCTTCAGTTGCATTTCTCTTTAAATCTATTTTTTAATTTTCATCTTTAAGTCAAATAAAATGAGTCATAATGATTTGCACTATTATTTCAGCTCCATAAACTTGGGAGTTCCTTGGCTTAAATATCATGAAGATTGCAGCCATCTCATTCAGGTTAAATTTTAACCGTGGAATAAAGACTCTTTGTGCTCTGGCAGTTTATATTTTCCTATTATTTCAAAGCTTAAAAGCACACAAAAAGTGTTCATGCAACTGTTTGGAGGTTTTAAAAAAAGTGGAGAGCTGTAAAAATTCCTTCCTGACTCACTTCAAACACAGCAAAAACAGTCCAGGCAAACACAGCCACACACCTCGAAACCACTAAAACATACACAGCTGCAGACTGAACGCAGCTCACAAAGAAAGAAGTCTGTCTTTCAAAGTGTTAAGATATCTTATCTCAAGACGGAAAGGTTATCTTTAACGCTTCATATCAAATGAAGTGGGGAAAAAAAAAGGCAGAAGAGGCGTTCAAGATTTTGATTTAACATCTGTACAAATGAGCTGGTCGATAAAACAATCTTAAAATGGGATAGTGGTGAAATTGATTAAATAAACTATCATAAACATTGGACTTTTGTTATTGAAACAGATAGATCCAGCAGCCTATAAAACAGCAGAAAGTAGCAGAACAACAGCCAGTCAGTGTGAGGATATCAGTGAGCATATCAAAGAACATCCTTGTTTCCTAAAGTTATGAATAGTTTGAGTCACTAATGAGGACACCAGATGACTGGAACTAAGGGCCACAAAAAATGTTGAAAGTGAGCTAAGTATCCACAAAGCTGGAGACAACAAAAGTAACTTAAATGGAAGTGGTTTGAATATCACTGAAGTGAAAAGTGCTGATTAAGGTCTGCTTAAAATGCAGTTTGTGCAAAAACAAATAACAAACATCCCCTGAATCTACTTAAAATGAGCCAGTCCAACAACTCAATGCTAAATAACCAAAAGGATCTGGATATTAATGTATCATCATAGCAGCAGCTCAGCTCCAGCCCCCTGGATAGTTTTATTAACCCTCAGCTCTTTGTGAAGTATTTATTAACAACTACACCTTCCCTTCATTTAGAAAAGAAGAAACAGCTACATTAATTCATAGGATGGCTAAAGACCTTGATGTGCACAGATTGCGGCTATGAGTCGGATTGGACGGGCTGAGGCTACTTACGAGATGGTTTTCATCTCCTTCTTCTCGGCATCGGGTCGAGCGCGGTTCAGCACTTTGAGGAAGTCTGACGTCTTGGCCCTCATACGTGTGTGAATGTAGGCCTGCGGGGGAGAGAGAGAGAGAGAGAGAGAGAGAGAAAGAACACTACATGTGAGGAGAGTCTTATCAGGGGCTTAAAAAGCTTAAAACAAGCCCGCAAACTAATCTTGAACAAATCTTCAAAATACAGTGGATGAGATCATTTCGTTTTTTGTCGGTGCAGGTGTCCACATAATTTAGATTTTTCTTTAGTGAAAAAATGAGGTCAACATTTTGTGACAGGTGCCGGACCTTAATCACAGCGTGCTGCAGAGACAATAGTGAACACTGTAATCTCCAGTTTCACCCACTGTCAACTGTCGATAAATCTATCTGCTGTGTCACCCACGCAGACTCCCTGCTGTCTGAAAACAGCCAACATCTTACGAAATCACACAAAAGCCTCTGAAATGTAGCCACTTAAAGAAAGGCTTTAATTAGAGTTTCTTCCGTTAGAGGAACTATGTGAACTATGTCTCGATTTGTGAGGCATGTGTACACAAACGCCCACTCTTAAAAGAAACCTGTATGATGACAGAGGGGGCAGAGCAAGTTGTCAACAGGTGGGGAGCCTTCATGAGTGAGACTTTCTTTGGTAGTGAGGGGACCAAACAGACTGTCGGAAAGATCATCTGTCCCAACACAGGGCTAAAAAGATATAATCAAAGAATTCAAGGTTTGGAAGTAGCTGGCTATTCATTATCTTTCAAAGATCATTGGTATAAATTGACACTATGTCACAAACAATAAAAACACCTGCAAGGAATTTCTGTAGCATTCAGATCTGATTGTGCACCCTGGTTTCATGAACTGACCTTGGAGCACTTTATGTGGTAGTGCAGGTAGTCCCTGAAGGTGTGGATGAGGTTGATGGTGTTGTCTCTAGCATTGGCATTGGTGTGTCGAGGGAACAGCACTGAAAACAACCAACAAAAAGTCCAATAAAAACGGCTGCAACACAGGAAAAAAAAGAAAGAAAAAAAGAAAAAGAGGAAGGTTTGCAGGTACTGACCGAAGGTGATGTATCCAATGTTGTCTCCGACGGCGGCGTCTGTGTCCTTCAGCTCCAGGGGGGGCTCCCTGTGGCTGAACAGCACCTGGGGGGCTGTGTGGCTGGCTCGCCGACCCTCTTTGAACTCCTGCACACAGAACAAGTACATCAACATCATCAGTTTAACAGTGGTATGTTTTATTGTTCTATTTAAATGACAGCTAAATCCATGCATGTGTTACTACTTGAACATTCACTTAATGATTTACATGATTCACATGTACAAATAATTACATCTAGAAAAAGAAAGACACATGGTTTATGTTCTGGGATGGGGAACTTTGGGGGGCCAGATGTGGCCCGCAGGCCGCCAGTTGATGATCGCTGGTCAAGACCAAAAGACCCACTTTTGGGTCGGTTGTGACCTCACACACCTGCATGAACACTTTGCCGATGATGACATCGTCGTCGTCTTTGAACACCGTGCTGAACACCACTGTCACTCTGTCCTTCTTGGCCTCCAGATACCTGAGAAGACGGGAGGATTTAGAGGTTTAAAAACCTCCAAAGGGATCCAGGATGTACGCAACAATGACAGCATGATTGATGAGAAAGCTCCCACACAGGAGACACATGACAACCCATTTCTTTCTTCAACTAGAGACTCTTCAAAGAGATGTCTGACACTGAAAACGTACATGGACTCGTCGTCTCTGTAGTGGACCACAGCCCTCTTCTCGCCCTCTTTGCCCTCTTCCTGGAACTTGAAGTACTTTTCAAACACAGACGCAAAGCAGTTCCTCTTGAGCATGCCCGCCTGGTGGACCACCTCGTCTTTGTTGGCCGGCAGTGAGTCCAGGTCGTAGAGGAGGGACACGTTGTAGCCTAGAAAAGATATATTTTTTTAATGAGTTGTAGAATCTATCTGCAGTTTGTTTTGATTAGAGGAAGTCAAGAGCTGACACAAACTGCCAAATACTGTTCAATAATGTTCCAGAAATGAGGAACCACGCATTCATTTAGAAGCTTTGTGGTGAGCTATCTTTACACCACTCTATTCCTATTGGCTGTCAGTAATTTCTAAAAAGGAGATCAGAGACTTTTTGAGGACTTACCAGACTCTGGTGCAACCAGGAAATTCTCATAGACCCTCTTGAGCAGCTGAAATCGAAAAAAAAAGGAGGACCTTTATTTGTGTCGTACTTCTCGTAACAAAAATTAGAGCTTCAGAGAAAAACAACATGACACCAAGGGGACAGAATCACATGAAAGAAACAGCTTCAATAGAAGAAAACACAACATAATATTATTCATATTTTCATGCTAGAACAAAACAAGGATTCCCGCAGTTCCCATGAGATTACAAACTGTCTTAAGTGGCACTTTCAAAAGCTGCCCTTTGAATGTCACAACAAAAGGCAGAGAAGGAGGTGTGTTAGTGAGAGGTTTAAATCTCAACACGGGGGGGGGGGGGCTCTTTAATTGATACTTGTCACTGTGGAATGCAGCAGGAAAATGTAAAACACACTCCTGCACGGAAAGATGGACCACCAAAGGTCAGTGAAAGTCACTGTGGTGCATCTCTCTCTCTCTCTCTCTCTCTCTCTCTCTCTCTCTTTTGAATCTGAGCAACGGTTCAGCAAAAAAAAGGAGGGACAAGAATGTGTGAGAATAATCGAGCTTTAACGCGGCCTGAATAAATGACTGTGACGCTGTTCATCTGGTCATGCATCCCTCCGCTTTTCAGCTCAAGAGAACAAGAAGGGAAGTCGGCTTGGCCTGGACAGCAGCCAAGACACACACACACAGCACTTCCTCGCCTGGGGTGAGTCACACACACTCACTTCCTGTTTCAAAAAGAAGCCCCAGCAGCTGCTTTCTTCCTTACATGGCAACAGAGCTCTTGTGGTGGAGGTGTGTGTGTATTAGTGTGTAGATAGTAATCCTGAGCTCATCATCTTTTTGGATGCCGATCATTATTCCTTCGTGGATTTGTCAGTGACAGTGTTTCCATTGTTGCAGCAGTGCATGTTTGCATGATGACGAGAGGGTTAGCATGAAAATGAGACTCTAGGAGGATAGTCTGCCTGTCTGGTAACCTTTTAGACCTAAAGGCGTAATATTACAGCATCTAAAACATGGCAGCGACATTTCACACACGTTAAGATGTTTCCCAGATTACGCAGACACCCTGGTTTGTGTAACTTGTGTGTACTTATGTAAACATGTGTTGAGGAATTTGAAAGTGAGTATGCAAATGTGAGGTTTTGAGAGGCCCAGTCTCTGCCCGAACACACATTGAGAAACTTCTTCTTCTTCTTTATTTGTTTGTTCATGTTGTACCTCATCAGCGCCATGCTCCTGCAGCTCCTTGTAGAACTTCAGCGAGATGCTGACCATCACTTTGGTCTTGTCCCCGTTGGGGTTGGAGATGTGGTACAAGACGCCATCGAAATCTGCAGCACAAAAGGAGGAATGTCAGAGCCTACAAGAGGGACAATTGACATCTTACACCCAGTTTTTAAACAACTAAATTAGAATATTTCAGTCAATTTTGCATGAGATGTATCACAACCTTTTGCCACGGGTTGATTCTAAAATAATAAAGTAACAGGTGTGATTACATCAGCATCAAACATGGTTCAATATTTGTCTCCAGCAATTCAATTAAAACTCATTTATAAATCAAAATATAGTCATTCTGAGAAAACTGAATGAATTAATTCCATAAAGTCTCACCTGCAAACGTCACATCGACGGCCTCTGGTTTGGTTCTGCAGGGACGAACAAAGCTTGTTAGGGGACAAAAAATCTTCAGAACAGCAATACCAACACAAGAATCTCAGGGTATATTCTGTTGTTACACAATGTGGGGGTTTGCACAGCACAGCAGATGAATTCTTTAAAAGGCAGATGCTGCAGCAGCATGTCCAAAGTGCATACTTTGCGTGCACCGAGGAGCTGCTGCTGCCTCTGCTCAGACTTGACTTAAGAATGCGGAAGCTGGAGAGAGGGGCGATAGTGAGCTAACAAGTAGCCCCTCGTTTGTTTCATCAAAACGTGGACAACAAATAAATCGCCTTTAAAAAGATACAGTGTCATAAAAAATGCTCTATTGTAGGAAAGCGTGGTTAATGATAAAGTTGTTGTTATCTTGACAAACCAAGTACGTCACCAACTGTGATCAGGAGCGCCTCCAGGAACTCCCGGCCCCATGAATAGATATCACATTGGGCCCCTACCACAGCCCAAACTAACCCGGACCGCACCTCCACAAATGACCCATATAAACATTGAACTATGCTTTGTTTTACACCCTGAAAATGGAAGATAAATAATCACTAATAATAAACTTTTTCACCTTTTCAGACCGTTGAAGCGCGGGGGGGGGGCACATTTTTTCCAGAAAGGAATTCTGAATGTTTGTTTATTCATTCAGACAATTCTAATTATCTTAATGTGATTATAACTGAGAGAAAAAAAACGCCAAATAATAAATACATTTTTTATTTTAGGCCCATGAAGGGGCCCCTGGGTAGTCAGTCCCCCCCCCCCCCCGGCGGTGATCAGTAGATAACTGGTGACTCCTGATTAACATGTCAGAATATATATATACATTTTAAAGCAGGGAGGGGCCACATTCATTTAATTCTCACCGCCAGAGGGGCCAAATTGTAGACACAAAAACGATTACGGTCAATTATGTCTCAAATTTATCTTAATTGTCAAACATTATGATGAATATTTCTGAGTTTATCATGTTTTCTTCATGTTTCCAATTAATTGAATAAAAAAAAATTAACCTGAGGGGCCACGTTTTAGGGTTTAAGGGCCCCGCCCCCCGCCCGCCCCGCCCTCTGTTTTAAAGGATAGTCGAGTAAATCAGATTTTCGCCTGGTGACGTCACGCTAACATGTTCGCATGGTGACGTCACTCTAACAAACAGAGTACTCCTCTCCAGCCTCTAAAAAAAAACGTTTTAAAATGTTCCAATTCATGTTTTTCTCTCATTTTTTTTGCAGACTAGCACGCAGAGCTTTGTTAAATTCGTTAATTGTTTAAAAACAGAACAACCAGGGGGAGATTATAAATGAAATTGGGGTTATAAATCGGGCTGTGACCGTGCAGACACACCCCAGCTTCAGGCGGGTCAGCGAAATAACTCTTTTTATTTTCTTGTTTCTAATTAAACTCAGCGACATTGCAGACGTGTGCTAAGCTGCAAATGTTGTTAAGTCGCATTTAAAACCCACACACACACGAAACGGAATGTGTAATAATGTTTATTGGAGCGCTGAAGAGGAAGCTAGCTGTTAGCATCGTTAGCCAGGTGTAACGGAGGATTTCTTACCCGTTCGATGCGCCGTCGAACTTCAGCGACAGCGTCTCTTCTATGATCCGGTTGTTGATTTCTAACAGGATCATCTCAGCGGAGTGCTGGTGTCGAGGAAAGGGGGGGGATGATCGGTGCTGTTCGGTTGGGATTAAATCGCTTTGTGTCAAAACTCGGCTAGTTTTCCTCCCTTGACAGACCGAAAACCGCTTCCGCCGAGCCACCTTCCGCCTGTCACTTCCGCGTTTTTCACCCTCAGGACCCCATGAGATGAGCGCGCCCGCAATGTTGCCTGTATGCATTTGTAATAATTCTACAATTCACTTAGCAGACGCTTTTATCCAACTGTAAATTGTAACATAAACAATTTTAAACAGGTAAGATCCTTCATGAATATCAATGCTGCTCGAATATCAATGATTTATTCACATATTGAATACTGTATAACCACATGGTCACTTTCTGCTGGCACAACACTTAAACCAATACAAAAAGGCCATAAAAATCTTTGACAAAAAGCCATTTTCGTTTCACCATTGCACAGTTTGAGATAAACATAATTTACTAAATTTTCATAATTTTGTTCATTTTAAAAATGCATGTTTTATATATAAAACACCCTGATCCTAAATATTTACTTTATATTCTATATATTTAGCTTTGATTATAGATATTTACAATCTTAGCTAAATATATAGGATCGAAGCTAAATATTTAGAATGTAAACTAAATATTTAAAATCAGGACATGTATTTTTAACATTTATATATAACATTTAACATTTAGATAAAACATTCAACATTTAGATATAATATTTAACATTTATATTTGCCAATGAAATTATCTTACATTTTTATTCACGAAAGTAAATATGACAAAGTTCACAAATATTTCTCTAAATGTGAATAAAAAGTGATTTTTTTAGGGTTAAATGTGGAGAAATGTTGTTGTTATTTGTAGTGTGCGCAACTTTACAATCGGTGCACCATACTGACAGACATTGCACAGAGGCAAAGCACAACATTGAGGGCAGTTCTTGAGAGCTCTAATCAGTATAGAAACCATCTTATAAGTCGTCGTTATCAAACAAAAACAATCGTCACAACCATCATCAATAATATGGAGACCATCATCATTAAGTTAGTAGGTATTCATGAAAGAGCTGGGTCTTTAGCTTTTTCTTAAAGGTGCAGAGGGACTCATTCCACCACCGGGGGGCGACAGAGGAGAAGAGTCTAGTCAGGCAAAAATGTCAACATTCCTTATAATATAATAGTATATTTATTGGTATATTTTTAATAAATGCAATATGGCTTGAATATACAAAAAGCTGGTTTGTTTTTGTTGTACTATAACATTTTATTTTAAAGTCTTCATATACCTTCTTGTTTTTACAGTTTTAAGATTAATTAGATGTTGATGATGTCAATAAAAACCTAGGAGACAGGATACATATTGTTTATATATAAGATAAAGATAAGATAAGATATACTTTATTCATCCCAGCAGGGAAATTTAGGTGTTCCAGCAGCCAGCATACATACAAATACACAACACATGTATACACACAACACATATATACATACAAACACACAACACATATATACATACATAGCCCAACCATAGAAAAAAACATGAGCCCACAATACAGTTTGATATTTGATATATGCAACTCAAGCTAAAGTGTAAAAGTTGAAATGTCTTCTGTCTTACTTAAAGGAGAGTCGTTATAAAGTGCAATTGCAGTCGGTATATGAGTCTTGGTGAAAATAAAAATGTACTCAAATGTACACATTTTAAAATCTAAGGAAACATTAAAAGACCTGCAATTTATGCTGAGGAGAGAAAGGAGTTGGGAGAACATTCCCACAGACCCTGAAGGCCCCACATTCATGTAGCCTAATTAAGTCATTTTATTAATTGGAGATTCTTTCAGGAAATAAAGTATTAAGATGACGCTATACAATACCAAAGTACTATATCAACTGTTTGAGATCTTTTCTGATATAAGAGTAGTCGTTTATTCATTGCATTTTGTAAATCATCATTCATGTTTTTTTGTTATTTTTTGGATCAATTCTCAGGTATTGCACTGATGGGGGTTGCGAGGAAACTAGTATGACTACTATCTATGTTTAATCTTTATATTTTTAGTTTCCAATTTTATCAGTCAGCAAATCTTAAATTTTTCACAGGTGTCAGTCTAATAACAAGCCATGTTTGTGGCTTGTAATTAGACTATTTAGACAATAGTCAGTAAATGCTGCACATGCTGGACTGACTGATTTATGACTGTGGCAGATCAGCAGTCTGTCATTTCACAGCTCGACTTATTAAGCTAAAGAGGTAGTTCAAGAATGTGAGGGAAACTGCTTTCATGTAAACATAAATCTAAAAGACAATACATTCACAGGAACACAAATCACATTGTCAGCACTGCAGACAACAAGGCTGTTCCAAACACATGTCTGCATTATTTAGATTATCAATCAAATTGATTTATTAGAAAATGAATCAGCAACTCTTCAGATAATGGACATTTGCTAGAACTGTCTTCGTTTTCTTTGTTTTACATCAATGTGATGTCAATTGTATTCAGTCATTTGTTACTGAGAGACAAAACAAAGACATTTTCAGTGATTAACTATTTTATAATTATAACTCAGAGAAGTCCGTTTTTGAGTTTGTTACTGGTGTATCTCTATTTTTGTCTTCAACTGAAAAAAAAGAAAAAACAAATACACCGATGACGGCTTTATCCAACTCATGGCGCCCTCATGAATTTAACATACAGAGCATAGATTGGAGTTTAATATCTCCTTTGTGCGCGTGTCATTCCCTCCTCTTGAACCACACTGTGTGAGATGAAGACTACATCCATCAACACGTGGATTCAGAGGAAACTAAGTGCTTAAGAACAATCAAGGCTTTGAGGGAAAACCTGATGTGTTGCATTCAAAGTGTCAGACATCAGAGCACTTTAGATAATCACCCTCTTCCTCTCTCCTCTTAGTTGTTGTTTCTTGGTTCCTTTTATGGATGCAACATTAGCAGAGCAGTAACACCCCCAGTGAAAACAATCGTCCCTGTGTGTCTGGTTTGAGGAGAATGAAACATTTATTAGGCCTTAAGTGTTTGTTAAGTCTCTAACTCAGAACTATGTACTTTCTGCATGCATGATCTATAAGTTAAAAAGATTCTCCTTTATAAGATAAGATTCATACATTTAGCCAAAAAAACACGTCTATGATAACTTAAAAAAAACAAAAGAATGGTAAATAAATGCTTGTTGCAGATGAAAATTAGTACCTCAGTTGGATAATCCTGATGTCACTCAGGTGTTTTCACAGAACTGGGCTGTGTCTCGGCTTCCAAAGAATAGAACATGTTTGTTCCAAGTTTCACATTATCCTTCTCGACAGTCTTGCTGTGTTGAAAGAAATGCAATACGAGGAGTCTGGCATGCTCCTGAGGCTTTCTGAAGAACTGTACGCTTCGGCTGAGTGAGCAAACGATAACAATATAAGAGTGCAAAGTATTTACCATCAATTTGAGAACATATTGATACACACACTGACATTCAGAACATACATGCATCTCAATTGCAATTGGTGAAGTGTTGAAGTGCTGAAGTGCTTTTTTCCGTCACCTGCAGGCCTCTTCCTCAGGCGTCTCTGACTTTGGCTTTGTCAGGTTTTCTCTGCAGGCTCACTGACATGTATGTAATGCACATAAATTGTGAGCTCAGCTACAAAGAACCACAACAATAATCTTCACCAATTTCGCAAAAGTGTTGTAACAAATCAAGGGAGTAATACTGGACTTAACACAATGCTTATATATAAAAGATAACCCTGATGTCTCTCAGGTGTTTTCACAGAACTGGGCTGTGTCTTCCAAAGAATAGAACATGTCTGTGCCAATTTTCACATTATCCTTCTCGACAGTCATGCTTTGTTGAAAGAAATGCAAAACGAGCAATACTGGACTTCGCAATAGTGAGAACCAATTGTTACATTTCCAGAAAGTGTCCCACCTTACCACACTGCACTGATTTCCAAACGACTTGCAACAGGTTGACCTCAAGTGGTCAGATGTCAACTCTATCTGAGACATTTTCTGTGTTATAATCCTAATGATACATGAAATGAATACAAATCTCCCACTTAGCTGTGTGTTAGTGCGTTCTAGGCTATAACTGATTTGCATTGTTTACTGGCACCTGTGTTGTTGCTGATGCTTCTACATGTTGAAATGTGTGCCGCTAAAGCCCCATTGCAACAAGAACATCGTGTGACACATGCCTGTGCTGTAACATATTAGGGAAGGAAACAAGACATTGGGTCAGCTCTCTATGACATAAAAAAAAAAAATCACACTTAAAGAGGATGAGTTTTTAAACACAGGCTCATTTGGGTGTGAGGGTTTTGGCTTCTTTTCTTTTAACGCTTAAGCCAGGCAGTAGGTGAGTACCTGAATTAGTTTATTCTCATTGGAAATAGGAGAGATGGTACATTTATCAGAAAAATTGTTTTGTGTGTGACACTTTGTATTTTTAGAATACAAAATAACCATATTATTTTTTAATGAATGAAAAATAATTACCTTGAAAACTTGCAACTTTAACCTACAGTAGCCAAGCTTGCTGATCTGGTATGACAACTAGCTTGTGGTAGCATACAAATATTAACTTCAGGTGGAAATTAAACGATATCAAACTGAGTTAGTTCACTGCCTGTGCAACTCTTTTATACTTGTGCCACTCCTTCTCTACATTTCATTTTTTACTCTGTCTCTCTGGGTCAAGCTCGAGCCGCACATCAGTTTGTGAGGCTCAAGTTGGGGGATCTACCTGTTAGTAATTTCTAAAGCTTTAAAAAGGGTATGTTCATAATGTTTCTGTTGTTTTACCATTTGACTTATGTTTAATTTAGTTTAATTACACTTGGGCATGCCACTTCATTTTTGCAACACGGCGCCATAAGTTCAGCTGCGTCTGCCATGGTTGGCTGCATGTTGAACTTCTGGTGCCATGCCTGTGTTTGTGCTGCTATAATTGTGCACTAGTGTTAATCTCTCTTTCTCCCCCACAGTGATGTCGATCACTATGGACTTTACAGATTTGTGGGGCACTCTGGATCCAAACGTCCACAACAATCAGACGCACTACGTCGCGGATCCAAAGACATCACCATGCAAGATGACACTTCTTTCTCCAACAGCAGCCATGACCATGTGTATCATTCTTATCGTCATCTTTTTACTCGCAATACCAGGGAACCTTCTGGTCGGGTGGGTGATTGGCACCAGCAGGCAGTCGCTTACGCCATCAGATGTGTACTTGATTCACCTGACGGTAGCAGACGGTTTGATGGCGCTTACGCTTCCATTCTGGGCTGTAGCGATCGTCCAAGGTTGGCTCTTTGGAGACTTCATGTGCAAGTTCTTGAATCTTGTCATTGAAGCGAACTTCTACACCAGCATCCTCTTCTTGGCGTGTATCAGCATTGATCGCTATCTTGTGATTGTGCGTGCTAGCGAGAGTTTGCATAGTCGTCAGAGGATGTGCAGCTGGATCCTGTGTGCGGCGGTTTGGGCCCTTGGTTGGGCGCTCGCTCTACCTGCGCTCTTCAATGACGCCTCCAAGCTACCCTCCGACCCACTGAGGATGATTTGCTCTGAGAACTTCGACATAGGCAGCGCCTCATCCTGGCGGCTAGCTACGCGTGGCTTCCGTCATATTTTTGGCTTCTTCCTCCCTTTTGGCATCATGGTCATCTGCTACAGCGTCACAGTCACCAGGCTGTTGCGCGCACGAGCTTTCCAGAAGCACCGCGCCATGAAAGTGATCATCGCCGTGGTGATTGCATTCCTGCTGTGCTGGACGCCGTACCACATCACCATGATGGTGGACACGCTCATGAGGGCCAAGGTGATATCCTACAACTGTGCCCTGAGGAGGTCAGTGAACCTAGCTGTGGTTATAACCAACAGTATAGCTCTGCTGCACAGCTGCATCAACCCGGTGCTCTACGCCTTCGTGGGAGAGAAGTTCAGGAAGAGGATGGCTAACCTTCTTCGGAGGAAAGTCAGACAGGAGAGGATCTTTCGGTCAAAATTCAGCAGGTCGACTTCTCAGACGTCTTCAGAAGGCACAGGAGCTGTCCTCTAAACCTCACCACCCTTGTCATGGGTCATGTTTTCTAAATGTTTCAAATTAATTGATATGTAAAAAATGACCTGAGGTCCATGTTTAGGGTTGATGAGGGCCCCCGGGCCGCCAGTTGCCCACCCCTGATCTACATTGTCTATACCAGTGGTTCTCAACTCGTCTAGCCTCAGGACCCACCACCAACTCCTCAGTGAAAAATCACAACCCCTAAATTTCGGATATTTTCCGACCAATCCGATTCATTTCATTGAAAGATTGTGGAGTTTGGATCTCAGTCAGTACAAAACATGTGACAGAAGCAAGAAACTGAACAAAACAATCATGTTTCAAAAGCGCATCACAGACATTTTTACACAAGCTTTTTTCCAGGCTTACATTCTCGACCCACTGATAATGGCTCCGCGACCCACCTCTGGGTCCCGACCCACCAGTTGAGAACCACTTCTCTATACCATATTTTATCCCGATGAAATGGAACTACAAGAGAATCTAACTGCACTGGAACATGAAATAAACAATTAGAAGATAGAAGGGCGGGGCATAACGTTGGGAAGAATTTGATTGGATTTTAATTGGTTGAATAATGTGTAAATGATGAGTCATCAGACATTTGAAACGTTTTACAGTTATTTGATTTATAAATACTCAGATGATGCTTTTTTAAAATCTATTTGGCAGATAAGTGAACATTCAACACAGGAACGCCACATTGAAACCAGGGACATTTATTTTTCATTTCATGGGGACTTTCATGGATGCACTTCCCAATCACAACAATTTAAAATTCTTAATCCAAACAAAGGTTAATGATGCATTTTCCTTCTTTTCTTTCTGACTACAACTTTTGAAGCATCATATAACTGAATGTAAATTAAATGATTGATCACAGTGCAAGTCCTTTTTGTGTCTATTTACTGTCTGTCATTCTGGTTTATGTGGCACACTGCTGCCATCTGCTGAATGTTTCTTAGTCAGCATCTACTCTTTACTCTACCTTTGTTTATTTAGCCTGTGAGTTAAGCCTTTTTGTTATCATATCTGTCTATTTATATATGCTGTGTTTCTTTGCAAAAAAATACATTAACTCGAATCATGTTTTTTTTCTGTAATAGTCCAGAAGATGATGTAAATACTTTTCACATGTGCAGTACATAAACATTAAATATTATTGCTAAATATTTTGTAGATGTGTAGTTGATTGAACAACCAAAATATCCTCTTTCCTTAAGAGTTATAATCATTTATTTACAATACAACATGCATTATTTCTGTTCCCAATTAGACTATCATCAGTAGTGAAAAATGGAGTAGTAACATAACTTGTCCAGCAGATGGCGGGCTCGCACAAAGCACAGTATATGAACTTTCCAAAGACGTCAAATCAAATATGAACGACTCAATATTTATTATTTTTTACAAAGATGTCAAATCAAATATGAACGACTCAATATTTATTATTTTTTACAAAGATATCAAATCAAATATGAACGACTCAATATTTATTATTTTTTACAAAGATGTCAAATCAAACATGAACGACTCAATATTTATTATTTTTTACAAAGATGTCAAATCAAATATGAACGACTCAATATTTATTATTTTTTACAAAGATGTCAAATCAAATATGAACGACTCAATATTTATTATTGTTTTTACAAAGATATCAAATCAAATATGAACGACTCAATATTTATTATTTTTTATCCTAAAAAATCCCGATGTCTTATTGTCTTATAATGTCTTATTTTTTATCCTAAAAAATAAGAAAGATACAATTTTAATTTGACTTTGCCTAATTGTCTTATAATGTCTTATTTTTTATCCTAAATTTTTTTTAATCCTACAAAATAAGATAAAAAATAAGTTATTTTTTATCCTAAAAAATAAGAAAGATACAATTTTAATTTGACTTTGACTTATGCCAAACAAAATAAATAGTTTAATGAGCTTCGGCGCGGAAGTATACATCAAGACTACATTTCCCAGGAGCCACTGCGCTGGGAGAACAGACGCATGACGAAATTAGGCGCTGCGGCTTCAGATGGAGCTCACGAGGTATGTGACAAACACTCGTTTTTGTTTACTCTAAATCCTTCATAAAGTAATATTATGCCTTCCGAATGAAAAACCCAGCTCTCTGTTATTTACATGTGCTCCCTTTTCGGATGTGTTTCCTTAAAATGCTAACAAAACCTTCTGGAGTGCATTGTTTTATTTACACATAAAAACTAGCTTTTGTGTTTGCTCCCTGTATTGTTAACTATGAGTCTATGTCGCACTCACACAAACACACACTAAAACAAACAAACAAACAGTGAGTAGTGCTTTTACTTGCTTGCATGTGCAGCTCTGGCATGCTAACACACTGTTACCCAATGAGCAGCTTTTGTAACTTGTTTGCTTTACTCTACAAGTCTTAGCACGTAGTTCCTTCCTAGTGAGAAAACTGAGTCTGTTTGCAGGTAAACCTTTTATCAGAAAGTATCAGGTACTAATTTGACCTTTGCATTGTAATAAAAACAGAAAACCCAACACAATTTAGTGCTAAAATAAACCACATGGCATTATGCTCCACTTTAACTGCAGTCTAATAATTGTAGGGTTTTGGACTGCCTGTCAGTAAATTACATGTTTTAATCATTTTTACACCAAAAAGATGTATTGGTTAGGTGTACAAATGTATTCATAATTGTTGTTATTTTATCCCTACTTGCTTATTTGAAGAGTGTCAATATTGCTTCCAAAGTAAATGACACATCTGTGTTCTGATGTCAACAGCTGCAGTGTCAAAGCAGTCTGACAACATTGTTATCTTTTCAGGTTAACAATGACACCAGACTCAGCCGCTGTCAGAAAATGAATGGGGCGAAGGTCAACATTTTCTCTTGCGTGCAAATGGAAGCATGTAGCAGTTTAACTGCCCTGCCGTCACCGTTTCAGTATTCGTCTGGCATGCAGAGGCAGAAAAGTTGAGTGAGGGGGGCCGTTTCAATTAAGAAACTCTGCAGCAAATCCTCACATGGTGAAGTGACCCAGCAGAAGAAAAAATAAAGAGTTACACCCCCGCATCACAGAGGGGGTCCAAAAGCAAGCCGACACGATGGTAGATGATGATGCAGCAGGCAGCGGGGACAACTCACAGGAGGAGACGGACTTGAAGGTACCTGCATGTGAAGACAGCGTGCGACTGGAAGACGGAGACGTAGTTATGGATCCGCCGCCCTCTGGAGACCCCTCGGAGGGAACTACGGAGCCCAGGAAGTGGAAGTGGGCTGTGATATTTCTGTGTTTTTATGGGTTCATGGCAGCGGTAAGACCGGGAGAGCCCTTCATTACGCCGTATCTGCTCAGCCCTGAGAAGAACTTCACCAGGGAACAGGTTAGTCAGACTGCTTTTAAAGGTTTTTTGCGCCACCAAATGGTATTTATTTTAAACAGCGAGCAATCCAGACAGCTCACAGTGAAAGTTAAGCTCTTAGACTCTTGCATAAGTTTCCCTCCGTGCAGTCAGACACTCATTACACAGCAGAAGTTAACGGTGCCCTGTTGGGAGTTTGCTGCGTCCACCTTACTGGGACCAAAGTTCACATTCCTCCAAAGTGGGTCAGTGTGAAAGGCTTGCCGAGGGTTTGTTGTTTTTTTAATCGAGGAGTAGCTGCGGTATCTGTTGGCTCTGATTCATAGAATACCATGCGACCACTTTTCTTCTGGTTTCATGTCAAAGAGTCTTTCAGGGAGGAGAAGATATTAAACATGAGAAAATCTTTGTCAAACAAACAAGCATCTCGCTTTATCCCTCCTTCTCGGACCGTAACTTGACTTAAAAAAAAAAAAACCCACAATTTAAGCCATGCAGTTTCTTGATCTTATTACGCATCAGGTTTAGGTGTTGGGTGATTATTGCTCGGCCCATCCAGTTGTTACATTCAGAGTTGTAGCTGAGGTAATATGTGTAAGGAACCATAACATTGGCTGATTATTTAGTCAGTGATGGAGATAATCGTCACCTCCCCTCACGATCCCGCTAACTGTAAACTAAAGGACAAACATGCATGATGTAATGGGATCCTTAAGCTACTTGTGTCATGGTACCCAGTCTTATACTGTGATACCATATTGATATATAAAGTCCAGAGTTTATTGATTTGTTATTACCCAGCTCTTTTTAGCAATTTGAAGAGATAAGACTTTATATTTCCAGCTGACGCCTTCATGGTCAAGGTCATTCACTGTAAGAAAACATGCTGCCTGTGCAAGACTGAGACTATAAACGAGCGACACTTACAGCCTGGTCTGATTTGTCATCTTCATATTTAGATTACTGCTGTGTACACAGTTCAGTCCGTCCATTATCTATACCGCTTTTCCCGAACCAGGACTTGAGCAGGTTACTCGACTCACTCATAGTTAGTGTTAACCGTCAATGTGTTTCTTCTGTTTTCCAGGTGACCAATGAGATCACTCCTGTGCTGACGTACTCCTACATGGTCGTGCTGGTGCCGGCCTTCCTGCTGACCGACCTCCTGCGCTACAAGCCGGTCCTGGTCATGCAGGGCCTCAGCCAGGTGGTCATCTGGATCATCCTGCTCCTGGGCAGTAGCCTCATCCAGATGCAGTTCATGGAGTTCTTCTACGGCATCACCATGGCGTGCCGCGTGGCCTACTCCTCCTACATCTTCTCCCTGGTCAGCCCTTCCCTCTATCAGCGTGTGGCCGGGTACTCGCGCTCCTCTGTGCTCCTCGGGGTGTTCTCCAGCTCAGTCCTGGGACAGGTCTGCCTCTTTCGGCAACATCAGCTTCTACACCCTCAACGCCATATCTTTGGGCTTCGTCAGCTTCGGCCTGCTGCTCTCGCTGTGTCTCCCGTGGCCTAAACGCTCCCTGTTTTTCAACCGGAATCAGGAGCAGAAGAAGCTGGCAGCGGCCAACAAATCCGAACTGGCCAAAATGAACCCCAAAGAGAGCGGCGCGTCTTCCCCGGCTGCTCGCCTGTGCTCGTCGTCGCGTTGGCGGGACTCCGTGTTGGTGCAGATGCTGGCGGAGCTGAGGAACGTGGTGAAGATGCCCAACCTGAGGCTGTGGTCTCTGTGGTGGATATTTAACTCCACGGGCTACTACCTGGTGCTGTTCTACGTTCACATCCTGTGGAACAAAGTCTACGCGACAAACGAGACCAAGCACATTTACAACGGGGCCGTGGAGGCAGCGTCTACCCTGCTGAGTGAGACTTTTTCTGGAGTTGCGATACTTTAAAAAAAAAACAGTGGTGGATGTTTGAAATCGTGTCTGTGTTTAATGCTCTTACAGCGGTTTGGTTTCAGTTTCACAGTCCACCAATTTTGTATACTTAATGCAAGCGACTCCATCTTGAAGGTGAATTTAGATGATCATAATCAAGACTCTGGTTGGGACTGTATCAGGTTTTCTAAACTTTGTTTGATTCTAGTAAAAATGAAACAACATCCATACCTGTTTTGTTACCACGGCAACAGAAATAGAAGTTTTACGCACCCAATAATTGGCAAACTCCTGCACACTGTCTCCCTAACCAGGGCATTTTTACTTGCACAAAGTTGCTGTGTGGATGACACATAGAGGGGCGGGGCCAAAGCCCTGTATTAGATAATTGGTGAGACAGTTTACCTACTCAGGAATCTCAAGTCACATAAATGGCAAAGCATCATTTCATTTTGAAGTCAGAAATACAGATTACTGGATGATCATGTGTCTTTAAAGAGCTTAAAGATAACAGACTGTTCCTGTACTGGACTTCTGATGCTTTTTACCTGCCAAGTGCCTTACTGAGATTGAGAATAACATTTTGGAGTTGGAATTTTTGTCGATGCTTGAAGGCCAAAACATCGAAAGATGATGCAATTCAAAAAGTTTTTAGTCTTTAAGCATGTTTGTCTTTGTGCAGGTGCCATAACTTCCTTTGCCGCGGGCTACGCGAAGATTCGCTGGAACGTCTGGTCTGAGCTCACCATCGGCATCATCACGGCGGTGCAGGCCGCCCTGCTGCTCCTCATGGGCACCACGGACAATATCTGGATCTGCTACATGGCCTACGTCCTCTTCAGAGGCTTCTACCAGTTCCTGGTGCCCATCGCCACGTGAGTTGCACATTTTAAAAGAAAGAAAGACTTACCAGCAAAGTGATAAATCATCCACTTTTTCATTCCTCGTAGGCGATATAAGAGTGCACTTTGATTTTATACCCAGTGTGTCCTTTCAAAATAGAAAATGATGGTTGACCATGTCAGAATTTTTTAAAGATCTGTTTCTGGTTCTGAGATGAGACTGCTTCTCTCTCCTGACATTAGAGTAAATACTAGAATACTGGGGTTCCAAGTGTGGCGCAGACAAAATCAGGCTTGGTGTCCCCTTTTGGATCACATGGGCTCTTTCCAGTGGTTGCTATGGTTATATAGCTGAATCACTATTCCCATCAGCCGAGAGGAGCCCCAAAGAAAACGCTTAATCAAGGTTTTGAAACTTTCTTCCTGGTCACTGAACCCATTTCCTTTGCCAAAACAAAGTATTTTCAGTCATGGTTCACTTTAAAAAAAAAAAAAAAAGAGGCATAAAACATGGAATAAATGAGACGCTGCCATGTGCAAATCCTGCTAAACGTGCTGTTAAGCCACAGCTCATGTTGTCAATGTGACAGTGTGGGAAGCCGGTTGTTATTGTAACTAAACTGCACGTTTAAAACTGGTTCCCTCTCAGGACATTTAAGTGTTTCAGCTGGTTGCTCGAACTGCATCTGGTCTCTGCTGCTGACCATCAAATTCTCACCTCTCCACAGTTTCCAGATTGCCTCGTCTCTCACAAAGGAGCTCTGCGCCCTCGTGTTTGGCATCAACACTTTCCTGGGGACCATCCTGAAGAGCGTCATCAACCTGATATTTTCTGACAAGAGAGGCCTCGGTCTGGACGTGCAAGCTCAGGTAAACACAGGACAGCTGCGGTTGTGAATCCACTGATGTTCTGTTATTCATGCCGCTACACATAGGGGAATTAATATCCACTATTAATAATATATTTATTATTACGATAGTGACTTTGACTTATTTTATTGTTTAACAACAACGCAGTGACAATCAGCGACAGAGATATGCCAGCAGCGGAGCGCAGCCGACACTACACACACACAAAGATACAATAATAACCAGACCGCCTGGTGGAAACAGGGCTTAGTTGAAGTTCAAGTCAGCATGCTAGACCTCAAATCTTGCAGAGGTCTGCCTAAATCCACCGGGCTGAAGATCTCCAAACCTGTGTTTATATTTAACAGTGATGCTCATTTGTTGGACTTTAAAGCACAAATTGAATCACATTCATTCTTATTAGCTTCATCACTGTTTCCCCTTGTTAAGACATTCCTAAAGTTGGCAACGACTAAAAGTGTAGGGATACAGGACGCTGTTTTCTTGTTTTCCTAATCTTGAGTTTACAGACTAACAGACTCGCGGTTACTGATTCAAGAGTCTCCTTTTCTCTCTTCCAGTTCATGGTGTACTTTGTCTACTTCACCATCCTCACCGTCGTCTACTTCGTCTGCGCCGCTGTGGTCATCACCCGTCACTTCAGGAACCAGCCTAAAGAAGGGGGCGGGGCCAACCAACAGGTCCCAACCGGCACGCCCACCGAGCTATGTCCTGTGGCTACAAATTCAGAGGCGGAGTGTCTGTCCAACGGCTCAAGTGCCAAAGCGTAACAACAACAGGATGGGAAGTTTTCTCATCGTCACTAGATCCCAGAGATCCTCAGACTCAATTATTTGAACTGTGTGATGAGAAAGACGGAGAGAGTTGTCCTCGATCTTTAAAGTACCTCTTCTGCTACCTAAAGCTGCTGCACTACAGTCAGACAAGCTGCAGGCGTCTTGTGTCTGACATTCTGGGAGAGTTTGTCTATCAGAATTGATTTTCTGCAAAAATTCTCCTTTTATACTGCATATAAAAACAAGAAAACTGCTTTTATATCACCTTAAACAAGTGAGAGAGAGAGAGAGAGAGAGAGCGCTTCTGTAAGGTCAGAACTGAGTTCTTCTTTTTTACAAACACGGGGAGTTTGCAGCTTTATGTGCCGAGCTGTTTCATGGACACTCTTAAGGTTCATGCGTACCTCATGATCACTCATTATTATTATTATTATTACCAGTCTGCATATTCAGCCTGACACTCCTGTTGTACCTGATGTTACAGCTCCCTGATTCTATATTAAGTGCCATTTAAAATGAGAGGTGGACCACGTCTGTTTAATTGTGTCTTTAGGTTTAGTTTTCCCAGCACTGATAATCAGACATGACAGATACTTTTTGTGTTGGGAGTATTTAAAACCTGTTAACTGCAGATTGAATGCAGTGTGATTTCATTTTGTCAGTGATTAAACGTCGCTGTAACGCTGCTCTTTGTAATTTAAAAGCAGCAGCTTCAATATGTTTGATATTCTTATTCGATGCTGAATGTGTAGAGATGTATGTTTGTAACAAATATACACTGAAATTGAGCATTCTTTTAAATCCACATCACTTATTTAAGTAGTTACAAGTGTGTGAAGTTTCTTTCCAGTGTTAAATTTTTTACAGCCTACGAGCAAGAACAGACGAGCCCAGCTGCTAATCAATCTGATGTCCCTGACTTTGAAGAAAAGTCGTCAATCCAGCACATAGAAGGGCTCGGACTCAAAGAGTGGAGGTACTTGCTTCATTTAAAAACTACAGGAAACATTTTGTCTCGGTGAAAATAGGAACACAGTGTTACTTGATGCAACAACAGTGCACACGTTCAGTTTCTTTTTTGTCGTTTTGCTGCTAGAAAAACAAAACGAGGGCCACAGATTTTGACTTTGGAGGATCTTTCTTACAGTAGTCTGGACTTGGATTGTTCTTACATCGAGAATGTAAACATATTTTTTTTTTTTTAAACTTTGATTGAAATATTCACTGACAAATGAAAAATGTAAACCTGTCTGTATGCTGTACAAAGACAATAGACTTGACTTTAATCAGATGTTTATTTTTTATTCACAAATAAATTACATTTGATGACTTAATCTCTTTGGTCGTTTGTTGTAGTCTATATTTCATATATATATTTGTGAGTCTTGTTTCATTGCTAACATCTAGCTGCAGGATTTCTAACTTTTTTTGAGCCCTGGATTGAAAAAATAAATCAAATATGATGTGTTTCAGACAGAGAGCATCACATCATCAGCATATAAAGACAGCTGCTTGTTAAGCTAGCATATCATGAATGGACCACTGCTTATTTAAATATTATCACCTAAAATCGAAACATGTATTTCTTTGTCAAGTTAAAAGACACACGTGGTATCCAGTTTCGGAGTTCTCTCCAGTACTTCACAGAGGAACAGAGTGTTTCACACATGAAAAATGACTGTTTCAGACTCTACATTTATACACATGGAGTTGTTTGGTCAGCTGCTCGCAGCTCGAAGACGGAGAGCCCTTAGTTTGTTTTTCTGCATTTTCTTTTGTAGGAGGAGGTCGCTCTTTTTTTTACCTCGACTGTTTCTACAGCTGATGACCCCCGACTGAGAGAAATCTAGCACCTCTCGACTTTACAAAAACTAGTTTTTTCACTGCATTGACGTCTGTAGATGAATGAAACTGGAGAATCGGTGACTTGTTAGTTGTTGTCAGTCAGTGGTCTTGCTCTTCAGCCTTGATTTCCTTTGTGTACGCAATGACTCAGCAATTCAATCAGATGCAGTGTTGCATTTTTTTACATTGGACTGAATACATTTAAAGTTAAATATGCCTTCTTATAATTGTGCGTTGGTAAACTGAATTTTACAGTAACTGCACGTTTTATTTGGCTGCCATTGATTTGTTATACTACTCACAGACTGTACTTAATGGAAGAGTGTAATAAAACGATTTAAACCAATGCATTTACTCATCAGATATTAGAATGTGTTGCGTTGCTGCGCTCTAGTGGTTAAATCCTTTATTTCAACTGGGAAAGTAAAAAAAAAAAAAATTGTAAATATGAACACACTTCTTTGAAAGGTTGATATTCTGTTTGTTTTTAATTCAACTCAGCACATGAAAAAGTCACCTCCAACAAATGAAATGTATATTCCTACTCTTTCTCTGTCTCAATGAGTTCCCAAACAGAGTGAGTATATGTAAGGTCCCTTTGTTTAAAGACGTGTGAATACATTGGCACGTCTACAACTGCTAAAAACAAGTTTGTTACTTTAAATATAGGAGTGTAACAAAAAGCCTTCAAGTAGTTGTCAGTATGTTTTTTTAAAACTACAAAGACAGAAACAACAGTAAGAGTAAAGATCCTTTACTCTTACTGTTGTTTCTGTAAAAAGAAATTTTAAAAGACATTTCCATTTTCTCCTTTAGGGTTTCGAGCTTCAAGCAGAATACAAAAAAACAATCCATGATGTAGAGTGAAAAACAAAAACAAAGGTAATAACTGATTGACCTTCTTTGAGCGTAAAAACATTCACAAAGTTTAAATACTCGCTACAAACACACATGAATCTGCTGCCGAGGACTCTGCAGTGAGCTCCGGCACAATGCGCTGATTGTTGGCCGAGGTTGGCGGCCCACGCTGCACAATGGCGTCCCTTTTTCTCTCTCCCCTCTGTTGTCAGCCCAGTTCCTCCCCACACAGGTCCAGGCTGCAGGATTCAACACCAGACGTGCTGCAAATCACAAATCCTCCTCCGCTGGGAGGGGGTTTAATGAGCTCGAGGTACCAGGTACGGACAGGAAAAGAGGGTTTCCTGGTATTGTCTCAAGTGTCAGGCCTGTTGTTGCCTCTTTAGGAAAATGTAACAGAGCTTGGGGGAAATATATGAGACTACCTTCAAGTACTTTTTATCTCATTCTGGCCTATCTCTCTCTGCCCCTTCTTAGTGTCTTTTAAAAGCAGTTTTCAAACATGTGACTTAGAGTCATTTCTTGTTCTCTTCTCTCTTAAAAAGTGTTTTACATGAAATCGGTACATAAAAAATGTTCACTTCATATCTCTTAATATATGGGAATACAATTTTCAATATGTGTGTTGGAGAGTGTGCCGCCTCTTGGATCATCTTACACCTCACAGGTCCTGACCCGGCGTTGTTCGGCTGCTTATGTCATCGGCGTTTCCTCTACAAAACGACAAACGCAAAGAAGAAGAGTCACATGCTGCCGATTGGACAAACATATTGCTTTTTTAAGTTGTGAATTACCGTCTGTCATTTGAGAGGTGGTGCCGTTATATTCTGCAGCAGCTCTTGCTGTAAAAAAAAAAAAAAAAAAAAAGAAAGAAGGAAAAGCACGGATGGATTTATTTCATCATTATAAAAAAAAAGAAGAGAGAGAGAGCAGAATACAGGGGCGGACACTCACGTGGACTCTCCTGCTTCCTCCAGAAGTCTGTTTGATGAAAAGGATGTTCAGTGTTAAAAGAAAAGACAGCAGAGAAGAAGTCTGTTAATGATTTTTTTTAAGTCATGTGACAGTGGTTTGAAGCACTGACCTGCTTCCCATGGCAGGGACTCTGCAGGGAGAGAATGACAGCAGGACAATGTGAAGACAGTCAGTGTTTATCTCATTATTTAACATCACATAGAAACATCGTAGCCTTGTATGATGTAACTTAATTGTGTTTGGTACTCCGGCTGCACCGTCGAAAACATTAAAGATATCGTATCTTACCTTTTTGGAAGAACCACATCCCTGGAGGAAATGGAGGGAAAGATTATAATTCTGCTCATACACACTTTAAATGCTTGATTTGTTGTGACAGTGATGATTACTTCAGGGTCTGGATTTATACCTGCTTTCATCCTGTGCGCGACCAGCAGCAGCAGCACAACAAACAGCAGACAGACGAAGACTATTACTCCTTTCTGAATATTTAGGTTTTCCATCCAGCCAGCTTCAGGATCTGGAACTAGAAAAGGGAAGCGAGAAGCGGACTTAAAGAGACCGCACAGTACCCGCTGAGTTCACTTCCCTTTCACAGTGTCAGAGTGACACGTTTCGAGTGAGAACTCACGTTTCAACATCGGGTTTTGGACGGGTTGGCTGCTCTCATTACTGACTGGATTCTGCACCTCACAGATGAACTCACTGAATCTGTCAGTGTCGTTCTATGAGCAGAGTGAGAAACATTTATACTGACTCACAGAGACACACTTGATCACACTGACCGTTTAAGTCGTCACATTTTACAGTCTTAACGATACCTTTTTCACTTGTGTCCTCTTCTCTGTGTGCCCAAAATTCCACTTGTAGATGACCGGCTCAGCGCCTGCCGTGTTCCCATCGCAGGTCAAATCGCAGGTGTTTCCCCCTAAGTCACATTCTTTTTCAACAGTGGGTTTGGGGACGGGAGCTTTTGAAAAAAGAAACGCAGAAACAAGTAGTCATGAGTGGCACTGTCCTTTTCCTCCACAATGTCACCGTGTGAGTCCTCGACTTACAGAGGACGATGAGCTGCGTGACCCCCGCCTTCTTTCCGCTGATCTCTGCAGAGTACGATCCTGTGTCGTTTCTCCGCAGGCCTGTGATTGTCAGCGCTCCAGTGGAGAGGTTCAGGTGGCCTGGTACTTCAAACGAACACACGCAGGGTTAGCGTCTCAACACAACAAATTCAAAGCCACAAAAAAACCTTTAAACTGACTTCATATTTGACCCCACAGACACTAAAGACCTGAGCTAATCCTGGCTCAGCTGGTTTACATTCAAACATACCAAAAATATCAAATTCCTCCCCGATTCCAATCCAAAAAGCAGCTAAGTTTTTATTATATTTCCACTCGATCCTGGTGATGGGCCCAGAGGTAGGACTCGGCTTGAGGATGACGTCATCGCCCACCTTCATGTAGAGCGGAGCACCTGCAAGGACACAAAGAAGCTCCGAGTGTCACATTTAGTCCCTCAAACCAGCTTGTTCTCAAAGAACTTTGGTAAGAAGGTGATGGATGATTAAGAGTTAGCTGTTATATTTCTATTTCCGTCTTTCAAAGATGTGTCATTACAGTTTGACGATATTTTTCACGCTGATTTGTCTCTTCTTAAATCCTCCGTCTATCTTTAAACTTTAAACCATCTACCTTCTTTGAAACTCCAGGATTTCCTATTTTTTTATATTCTCCTTTACCTACTTCTTATGCTCACTGCAGCATGATTATTGCATATTATTCTATATTATTTCAGTTGTTGTATGAAGTGTTTTTTCTCTGTTTCATCCTGCTATATTTAAACATGATCCAGACACTATTCAGAATACCTGCTAACGTTATCATTAGACTGATCAGTCTGTTATACTTCTTACTGTCACTGATAATACTACAAATACTGTGAAACTTCAATTAATAGCCGAAGCAAAAGTGGGCGTGGCCATGTTTCCATCAATGAGGGGATTTCGTGTAAATCAAATGCTTGCAATGAATTCAAAATCCTGAAAAAAAAGGAGTTGAATTAAAAAGTGTTATAATACATCTTTATGAAGACATTTCTTGGTTAGGAATTCATTCACAGACTTTTAAAAATATCCCCTCACTAATTTCATTAAGAACAAAATGTTTTTTTTATTAATACATGTCTTATTACTTTCTTTGCCTATTCTTAAATATACCATACACTGCTGTTTGGAGGACGAGACAGAAGTATAAATAAATAAATGTATTAATAAATACTGGAATAAATAAATAAAGGAATGAATAAATAAATAATTAAATGTGTGAATAAATAAATGTGGAAATAAATAAATGTATAAATATATAAATAAATAAATGTGGAAATAAATAAATATGTAAATAAATAATGTATAAATAAATAAATATGGAAATAAATAAATGTAGAAATAAATAAATGTGGAAATAAATAAATGTATAAATAAATTTAAGACATTTAATTATTTATGTCCCATTTATTTACCAGTTTTTATTTCTTTCTTCACGCCTTTAATTATTTATTTATTATTTATTTTATTTATTTATTCCAGTATTTATTTATACATTTATTTATTTATACTTCTGTCAGATTTCTTCCTCCATAGTTTGTCCATACTGAATATCATAATGTAGTACTATCCTGTAACATATCTATTACAGAGCATGTCGTTCTCTGTACACTCTATTGTTGACAGTAGTAAATGTCACTGTAGTCATATCAACAGGCTGGTATAAACTGGGTGGGGTCGTAGATCTGTGAAGCTACAATGCTGCAACACAGCCTGCACATTTATTCATGTAAACCCCACAAAGTCAACGTGTGAAAACAAATGAGCTTCCAGTTAGCTGAAGGCCGCAGACTTACCGGGGTCTTCTGACTCAGCAGCCAGCGAAACACACACCCAGCCGGCCACAAACATGGACATGACAGACGGTCCCATGGTCTCTCAGCTAATTATACACGGTCCAAAACGAATGGAAAAACACTCTATTCCTGTTCTTAAACATGCCCAGTAACTCCGTTTAAACCCTGAGCATGCTCGCTTAATAACAGTGAGAGGTGATGTAAGGAGACGGAGACAGTTAGAAGAAGACTGAAACTGAAAGTTGACATGCTTTTTCCTGCTTAACAGGCTCGTCCAGTCTCCGCCTCCAGTGGGACATTGCTTCTACTAAAAAAAACAACTTAAAATAATCGGAAAACACCACATCTGTGACACCAGCAGTGCAAAACCAGTCATGTTAAAGAGAATAAAGTTTAAAATAGTCGTTTAAAAAAAAGAAAAGAAAAAAGAAAAAGGCAGCATTCCGCCCCTTTCTTTTTTAAAGATTTATTTCTGGGCTTTTCGTGCCTTTAATGCAGAGAGAGGACAGTGGATAGAGTCAGAAACCAGGGAGAGAGAGACGAGAGGAGACGAGACGAGAGTCTCAATACATGGGCCACCAGCGCGCCCCTAGTGTCCATATTTCTTACTGCAGCCAAACAAATCACAACACAACACTGAAAGAGGAAAATCAATTAGCTCCTTTGTTTAATTACAGCACATTTAAATGTAACGTTACCTAAAATATGAAGTAGATGTATAAAACTAATAAAAGCAGTTTGTGCATGATTTGATTTCTATGCAGTAATTTGTTTGATTGTTTTCACAAGACCCCTAATTTACACGTCTTTAATTTGTTGTTGTTGTTGTTTTTTTTAACATAGAGTGTAACTTACAGGCATGAAATAATTTAAACAATGCAACATTTATTTATGCTCTCCTACCCTACACATGTTACACTTTCTTTTACTTTCTTGTACTCCCTGCAGAAAGTTTTTTTTTTAAAATATACAAACAATTAGCTGAGTAATATGAACAATACAATTACAATATTGCAATACATTTTATTAGCTTCGATTTTAACATTTGAATAAAATAATAACGTGTCTTGACAAATAACATTGTGCAAAACAAACTGCAAATGCATTTAGAAACAGTGGACTTCAAATGGATCATTCCTCCTGCAACTCCTCCTCTTGGTTCTTTATCAGAGGCTCCACCTGCAGCCACAGACCTCCCTCTGCGCGCATGACGAGCTGGGGGAGACGGCGGACTCCCGAGACGGCCCCATGTGCAGGATTCACTCCCAAGGTCAGACGAAACCTGAGCAAGGTCAACGCCACGACGACTCGCAGCTCTGCCAGGGCGAACTTCTGACCGATGCAGTTCCTGTCAGCACACGCAGATATGATACAGATTCATGTCTTAAGCGGTGTGTTTTCAATTCAGGAAGCTCGTATTCACCCTACTCAATGAAGATGCAATACCTGGGGCCTGAGGAGAAGGGGATGAAGCCGTGAGAAGCTCGCCCTTCTGTGTTTGTGGGGTCGAAACGCAGCGGATCAAACTCCTACAAGAAAGTAAATCAAGTCAAAGCTGTGTCAAGTGAAGGAAAGCATGTTTTTATTTGACGTTTCCTACATGTGGGTTTGTCCAAACAGCAGAGTTGTGATGTGTTCCATAAATGCTGACCAAACAGATGACACCTGAGGGAGGGAAAAAAACACAAATGGGAATTCGCTGAAAATAATGCTTTAACAATTTAAGTAGTTTGATGTCTATAGTGGTTTAGACATTACAAAAAGAACAAAAATGAAGAAAAAAATCTGTATTTATATTGGAAAAGTCCGTCCGTCTCACCCTTTGGTACTGTGTGATCCCCTGGCAGGGTCATATCCTGCGTGTACTTCCTGGACACGGCCTGCACGGGAGCATGCAGCCGCAGAGACTCTTTGATGCACATGGTGGTGAAGGGAAGGTTGGACAGATCCTCCCTGCAGAAAAGAAAACATGCTTTATGCATCCCTATTTCTGCCTCAGTTTAACATCCTCTGCACTGAAGACTTGTTCGGATATGTATGCAACTATTGCTCAGAATCTTTGATGAGAAATTCATTGTTTGAAAAGTCGAGGTTGTGTGCATTTCTGACCACTCTATGTCTTGTTCTTCTCGTCCTTGCATCAGATCCATCACCTCCTGTCGGCATTTCTCCTGATGGTGGTCGTGACGCGCTAAATTATACAGCGTCCAGCAGATTGCACTGGCTGTAGTGTCATGACCTGCAGAGAGACAGGGGTTTGATTTCAGTTTTCAAGTGTCTTATCTGATTGTCAAATTATGCAGCTTGGTTGTGGAATTCAGAGAGGGAATTTCATGAGAATTGAAGGATGCTATTTCTCAATTCAGCCTTATATATGCTGCAAAAAGCCAAAATAACTGCATTAACATTAAATGCTTCAAATTAAATAAAGGCTGCATCATGAAACTGAACTTTAAATAGTTGAAAGAAGTTGCTTTAAAGCGTCTCACCTGCGAACATGAAGGTATTTGCCTCCGCCTGTATCTCCTCATCTGTCAGGCCATGTCCATCCTCATCCTACAACAACATGCACACATTTTATAACTCAATGTTAATCTGTTACAACATGTTTGTCTCTTTGTTTTTCTTCTTTCCTGCCTTTGTTAGTAGTATGATGTCCACAAAATCTTTCCTCTTCTGTGGTGAAAAATCCGTTTTTGTCTCCCTCTGCTGGCTGATCAGGGCACGGCGCTTCTGAACCACTTCCCTGGTAAAACTGCAAAAACCACCCCAAGAGGTGTGCAGCAATCACATGCACACAATTCAACTGAGTAAAACACAATGAAATATAATAACATATAATAAAAACAGTAAACAAGCTGTTACATAAAGGTCAAACTGTCACACCTGTGCAAGTGTTGTACCTGTGCACGATCTTCAGCGCTTGTTTAAAGCGTTTTCCCTGCGGTGTTTTCCAGTAAATCCAGTCCCAATGGTGAAAAATCTTAAAGCGACGATCTATAATCAGGTCACTCAGCTCCATGATGGCTGACACGTACTCACTGCTGCTCCTGGAGACAGGAAGTTACATTGAGGGACAACAGAAGAAGAATAGTTGAGTGTGTAAAACAAAGAGTGTTTCCTCACTGCTGACAGTTGCTGCTGTAGCTGAAGGCACACTTGAGTAGACTGTCCAGAGTCATTAGAGTGATGTGGTCAAACATCTCCATGTTGGCTCTGCCTTCTGCCACCAGATGGCGCCACTTATCCTGAAAGATGCAGAAACATGGAAATTCATCCGGACATCAATCAAGCCACTGTGACATCATCTTCAATTTGGTTGTGAACACATGGTGAGCAAATGTATAGCCTATACTTTACACCAATTTGACGTGGATGAGTCTGATTCAATTTGAAATCTGATAGAGAAGAATACTTACATTCTATCAATTAAATGAGCGTGTGTGAGCAATGGTTTGTGTCTTACATGCATGATGTTCGCTGAGGTGTTAAAGGTTGAAACATAGGTCTTCAGAATATCAAAATGAAACGCTGGAGTCAGCAGCCGTCTCCTGCGGGACCACTCCTCCCCGTTACTTAGCAACAGACTCTGTCCTGGGACCGAAGGCAGAGGGGTGGAGGTGAAGAGGGCAGGAAATCAAAATCAGTTAAAAGTGATTGGAAACTCCTTTTTCTGCATATAGTTTTTGATGTATTGGTAAAAAAAAAAAAAAAAAAAAATGTGTCATTGAGGATGTAATCAATAAATGGGAAACTCATGACAATAAGAAAATATGACTTATTTGACTCACCAAGCCATGGACGCAGATGGTCGTAAACAAGCTCATCTTTCACTGTAATGCCAGCTGGATGGAAGAGAGGAATGACAACAACAACACTAAACAAAGCTGCAACAACAGTGTTGACAAAAGCTACTTTGTTTACAGTCATAATGCAGACATGGTCACAATGGTTTTACCCTACCAGGGGCCATCAGCAGCGGTTTGACGTACTCAGGGTGGAAGAGTCTGACCAGGTGATAGAAAGGGCCGAGGAACCAGCTGCAGGAGTGTTTGTACGTCTCCACCAACTCGTCCACCTGCAGGAGGCCTTCCTCTGTGCTCTGGATCTGAGGGCACAAATCACATTTAGACACTTCAGATGATTTTGGATGGTTTTAGGGTGAATAAAGGCTGATTCATTGAATTCTAATGCAGCATTTTAAAGCATATTCAATGCAAAGAGGATGTTCTGAAATAGGCCAACTTATATTTTGCAACATTACACCGCATCCTGTATCACACTGAGGATTGTGCTGCTACATTTCCTGGTTGTTGGTCAACAAGGTGACTGAGTTTACCTTAAAAGTGATAAATAAGGCTGTAAAAACATGTAATTTGAGGTTTTATGATCTTTAGTTTGTGTGTCCTACCTGTCCCATGTGTCCTAAAAGCCAGGAGTGTGTTGGTGGCGTGCTGAAGCAGGACAGTCTGTGTGTGAACCAGGCATGTCGCACCAAAAGCCTCGCCGTCAAAACTGCAACCACAGCTCCTAGTCCTGCACACACCACAAGCAGGACCTGGCAGAGGCCGGTCCAGATCACCTGAGCAGGGACAGACATCCTGGGGCAGAAAGAGAGAGTGATCCTGAGTCCCAGGTTAACTTGACACTCACCCTGCTACTGGATAATGAGAAGTTGTTAGTGTTGAAAAATGAAGTAACCAAACTGATCCACCCTGTTGTGCGATTATTTCAACAGGAACAACTGTCATAATGAGTGACACAACTTCCTCATTTGTAAATGCACCTGTCCTGTATCCTCAACTGACATTATAATATGTAAATGGGGACTTGATTTTGTTTTAAGTTATAATTTAATGTCTTATGTCTTGATTTTTTACAATTTATGCCACAAAGATTAATTTTAGTTGTCATGTTTATTTAATTTTGAATCGGAAATTTAATTCAAAACCCCTTGAATGTTAAATTTATTGTTTGTTTAATTTTGTGATACAGGCATCCTTCACGAAAAAACAAAAAAAAAAAGACTACAGTGAATGAAGTCTGTGTTTGCATTCTTGTTGTTATGATGAGTTATGCCTTTGAATCATATTTCTGCTTTGGTAGGAGCTTATATATACTGTATATATTTCCGCTTGTCCAATTTCTCCGTAATGAAGAGCTGGCATTTACGAGGAGCTCCTGAAGGCCACATTGATTGGCCCTGCCGGATACACCTGTGTTGCCAACAGTAGCAGCCACCTGAAATGAAAACCGCGCCACTCTGTTTATGTTTTCAGATGTTCCATTCATACCTA